CGCCAGAGTGAAAGAGGCGGCCGGGGTTGGATTCAGTTTCAGTGTCCTGGTTATGATGCACATCGCATTCATTCAAGTGCACACCCAAAGGTTTTGTGCACGAGCTGCTGCCGGACCAGGCTGGAGTGACGGGCGGCAGTGGGCAGCACGTCAGCTGAAAGCGCCCCAGGTCGTTAATTCTTTATTTGGCGCTAGCGTCTATAAACGTGTGAATAATGTACAGGTATCACAGAATTGTGTATGCATGCATGCGCAACCCCCTTCGGTCAATTCCACCACTGGATGGAGGTCTCCCCATGCCATGCGGGTTACTCGCCGCACCGCGAAAGTACTATGTTAACTACCTCGCCTGGTATGCAGGAGATCGTGGGTTCGATCCCAACCCAAACGCCTGTTGGATATTTGGAGTTTGCATGTTCTCCTTGTGGTCACGTGGATTTTCCCCCCGGGTCCTCCGTTTTTCCCCTCCACATTTTAAATCAACATGACGCGTTTATTTAGAGTATTTGGCCGCTGTAAAGTTCCACGTGATATTCCACTTCGTAGAGCTATCATTTGTGGCCAGATCGTTTCGGAAAAAGAGCTGTATAGCTCAGTGGACTTTGCCTGGTATAAATTTTTTTTATGTGAACATACTTCATGAAAGTCAGTGCAGGTTGGTGAAGGCGGGGAGCACGGATAGACGTGGGGGCATAGTACACTGCTGACTCAAGATATCACTGAACAGCTCAAGACAATGCGAGTGATGAGATTTTTTTTTGGGTTAGATCGCGTAAATATATAAATGTGTCGTTAAAACCCGCCACCACCCGACACAGCCAACCAACTAGTAAGGGTTGTCACGTAAACAGAACATGCCAATTCGTCACGAGTACAGCACAGAGAGTCAAGCCACAGCATTGGAGAGTCAAGCCACAGCATTGGCAATCTGAGCACGATTGTGGATATTGGTCGCGAAAGCCTACGGGTTAAACTTAAAATGCGAGTGATATTTATAGTTTTGGACGTTACCTTGTTTACGTTGTCAACATGCAATCGCTATGGTGTGCAATGCCCTCTACTGTCAACCCCGCTGAGCTTGCGAAATCTGACGATATCGGGGTGCTTTTCTGCCGATTTGGTCAGAGGCGAACAAATTATTTGGTGATACTGCACTGCGCTGGCATTAGTGCACTAGCACAATAACTAAAATAACTCAACGCATTTGTCAATTAACAGTGTGGCCTTCAAAATGAGTGTACAACAGGCAACGTTTTGGGGCAATGGCCCTTCTTGCATAGCACACAAAGATCGAGGCCAAAGATGTAAAGTAATTGGGAGTTTGAGACTGCACGATACACCGCAGGGCCTGATAATTAATTTTAAATTGGCTACCAGTGAGTTGTGATCTTGATCGTATAAATTCATGAGAAGAATGTCAACGGTTTCCCTTACCCAACATAATTACACACAGCTCAGGCTATAAAGACATTCTACAGCTGGCCGTTGAAATGGCTAAGATGAGATGTTTTGTAATGTGCTGTGAGATCTTGGGGCATTTAAGCACCAGATAAATGCAAAATCCTTTTCCTTATATTTCCAAGGTTCGCGTGTCAGCAAAGGGTAGCCCCAATTTGGACCGAGGCTCTAATTAAGAACATTGATTACAGCAACGTTATGCTCAGCAATGGTTCGTGTGTATAACCCTTACCGCGTGTGAGATCATGTTCGGCATCGCAGCTCTCCCTCCGTCTTTGATACAACAAAAAACATTTCGCTATGCGACCTCATCACCACAAAGCCGATACCGTGACGCAGGGTTTTCCAAGCTCCAGTCCTCGCGACTCACCACGCTAACGTCTTTACCGATTTGCTCCCATTCAAATCAACTCGTTTAGACGCTGCGCACGCGCCCGATGATTATTAAACGTCCCACGTGACGCGCTCAGCAGTTAACGCTGTCCGCGTTAATGGGGCCCGACTCTAATTACAATTACGTCTGTATCGCGCGCGTGTGCACGTGTTCCACGTGAAGCAGACAGCGTTATTGCTTAGTGCGTCACGTGGGACATGTTTAACGCGCATCGGCCGCGTGCAGCGCGCAACGAGTTCATTTGTATTTGAAGGAGACTAAAATTGGTAAACGCGGAAGGACCGTAGCGTGGTGGAACACGGGGAACGATAGTTTGGGAAAGCGTGCCGGAACAGCTGCCGGTGTGAAGAAGTTGCAGCGACTGTTGCGTGTCGCATTGTTGCTCAACAGATGGCGTTCGCTGCACCGGAATGGAAAACATGACAGTTTTCCCGAGACCGACATCACCACATCCGATCCGTTGTGGGTTCTCGCCGAGAAATTGACACGCCGTCAGTAGGCCCGTGTCTGGTTCAATAACAGCAAGGACTTAATTATAATATATATTGGAGGGGACACCCCCCCCCCCCCCCATATTCAAATATGCTCAAAATGCCCCCGCCCCATATATATTGCTAAAAGATTTGTTTATATGATTGTGGTTATACTTTATTAATCCCTAATCTCTGCCATTACATACAATGAAACAAGAAACGATGAAAGAAAAAACAATACAATACACTATTAGACATTATTATAAAAAATAATTAAAAAGTCCATCCTATGTGTTAGTGCATTTTTTCATATTTTGGGAAGGAAACTCGTTTTCAAATTTAGATTTTTTTCTGGGGGGGGGGACCCCCAGACCCCCTGGAAGATTTGGTCCCCCCCCCAATGCTGACTCTATGGCCCCAGCCTTGAATAAAAGTATAGCTATGCAACTGTGCAAGTGCAGAATAATTTCAGTAATTGAAGTCGCTCGTCCAAAACTTCTGCCAGACTACTAATACAAGACCATTTAAATCAAATAAGGAACATCATGTACAGACAGCCTTTTCCAATCCACTCCCGAATGAAGAGCTTCCCAGACCTTGGCATCATTCGCTACTGATGTTGGTCAGGAATCGAAGTCATGTTGCCGAATGGATTTAAACAGTAACCAACATCACCACCGCTCCACCGAAGATAACGATATCAATTAAAAATAACCGGCAATGAGATTTTTGATTCAGCAAACTACAACTACGACAAATTGTTAAAATATGAATTTCCCTTCTAGATTTGAAGTTTTCATGATTTTCGATAAAGTCACGTAGGTGAAAATAAAAAAATAAAAATAGAAATAAATTAATCACGACGTTTCCATTGCAACACAAGCAATCATGATCAGGTGTGACAACCACAGCAAGGAAATTTTTACTGAAGTGGGAGAGAAATCAGAGTTAGGGCAGTTAGATTTCCCCTTTGGTTGTGTCCATTCATGCGTTACGACTATATCAGATACCACTGTGTAATGTAACGTTGTCCATTGTCTAGCCAGGCGTGAAGGCGCACGCCTGTGATCCAGCATTTTTGAGGCAAAGGGACGATGGCCAATCACGCAGACGTGTGAAACTCCCAAACCCATTGACCTGCAAGGGAACTAAGCGATAGTACAGCAGCCGGGTTCATAAACCCCTGTGCAAATCTTCACATGCAATTTATGCCCAACGCTTGTTAATGGAATTGGATAAAACACATTTGCAGGACTCTCCTGAAAATCTTTAAACTTAGCAAGGCTTTCCTGGATTAAGGACATTATATTTTCCCTCGAATAAATGGCAATAAACAAAGATTTTTCTGTAAGAATAAATGAAATGGATCGGTCGGCGACACGTGTGCAGTTTGACATTCCTCATCATATATGCTGAAGGTCACAAAATATATAACGCATGTTTCAAAAAGACATCAGCCCAATTACGATGGGATTGGATGGCCTAAATGTGACATCTTGGCCGATTGCTGCCTTCAACGTTGAAGTCAAAATGGAGCAATGGATCGTAGCCAGATGATAGAACGTTACTTCCCCTTGTTTTTAGCTCATTTACAACGAGGTGCACACATCTCGAGAGATGTTCCACGCGCCATGATTGGCTGAATCCAGGCAAGTCTCGATTAACGAACGTTCTTCTTTCAAGAATTCGCTGTAACGAGCAATTTGAATGGAGACAAATGTATTCCCAAAAAGAGCAAAATGTTCGCTTAGTGAGCGAAGACGGATCATTCAACGTGCATCCTGACGCGAGGGCAGGGGGTGCACGACGGCCGAAGCCGTTTACCAGCTGTGCTGTGTCATGTGGGGGAAGGGGCCTTATGGTGGCACTGTAATGGGGGGGGGGGGCTAATAAATTGCAGATGCCGAGGACAGGAAGTCTTGCTCCATCACATCCCCGCATCGTGGCTATGAACCCAGCAACCCTGATTCGATTCGAAGCCACGGCTAACATCAGTGGCGAGTGATATTTAAACCAGAGGTCCTGCATGGGCACCGCTGCTGCCTCCACTAACATCTACTCTTCAAATAACATGCTTGGCACCTGCAAGCACTGATTCATCATGCGGTGTAAGATTTGATGTTTTATTACAAAAATTAAGGTTTGTATTTCATGTAAAAAAGTTGTTCAAGAGTGGAAAATGTTGAGACTGAGCTTTTAACATGGGGAGTAAATGAGAAAACGATGATCGATTAACGAGTTTTCGCTCGAGAAATTTTCGCAGATCGTATCTCACTCTTGAAGCAAAACGCCTGCATTGTATATTATTCAGGAGACACATCACCTGCACTGTAGCTTACGTGAGACAGCTGAGTAATTGTAATCACATCAAGTGATGTTGCTACTATTGCAGTTGTATTCACACCAGATGCTGCAAATTTTACAAACACCAGTAATGCTCATGCAGAGCTGACCTCGGCAAGAGTAAATATGACCAGTTTCCCACTTAGTTCCAACAAACATCAAAAAGGCATAACCGAGGACTACTCTATTTGATGCTGATTGAATGTGGTTCATTAAATGTAATGTAGGTCTTAGATTTGATACACTCCATATCCCCTTTCCAATAGTACCCTAATCCCAAAAATTACCACTTTGGACACAAATACAGCAAAGAACAGACCCAACACATCGTGTATAAGAAATCCATGGTTGTGTTTCCACTTTATTGGTGTTGGTATGCGGTACTACAAGGAGGGTGTCTCCGAATCAATCACCAAGGTCACTGTTACAGTATCGTTGTGTTAACATCTACGCCAATGTATCATTTCATAAATGAGACAGAACGCCAGTGTTTAAAAAAAAATGTTTTAAAGGAGAACACAAACAACCAATGAAGGAATCATAAGGCCCCATTGTCCGAGCCCCGTTATGCACCCGTCCCCTGTGGCAGGTTTCCGCCTCTCCCTCGGGCTTCAGAGAACCCTCTTTCGCCTTTTGAGGGAAGAGCATCAAATTCAGGGGGCGGATGCGAAACCGGCTAACGGACAATCGGCAGCGAGTGGTGACGAGCTTGTAAAAATGTTAAACACCTAATAGAAAATAGGTTTTCACATTTTGACAACTCTCAGTCTGCTCCCTCCAACCGCACTCCCATGAGCTGCTCAAATCTCACGGGCGCACAGGTTGGGTAGGGGGCAGGCACCAGCGCGCCGTGGCCTTAGTGGCCCCTATTGTTAAGAAGCTAAACGCGTACGAGGACAATGCAATCGATCATAACGTTAACGTTTGCGTATGTAAAATCAAGGCAATTTAAGGTACAGTTAAAGGGCATGTGCCTTACAAAAATAATGTCTGATGAGCAAGCCGCCGCTGAAGCCATGGAAGTATTTTGCAAAACATGACCTCTCGCGGTCATAGTCGAGGCTAATCCTCAATTTGAGACTGCAGCTCGACGTTAAAAAGGGACAAATTGCAACACTGATGGACAATTACATCTTTCGGCAGATCGCTTTCAACTGCGGCAGAGATGTAGCCGTCTAAAATATTCATTCTTAATTCTGAAAAGTAGATGATGTGCACCGACAAATCACATGACGGGGTTTCTGTCTGCGCCCAGCCATAAAGGCTCCGTTCTTAAATTGGCAGAATGCTGCTGTCCTAGCAGAACATTAGTGTTTGCTTTTCGCCGAGAAATGAACTGTCAGCAATGGGGTTGTTGTCAAGTGTCGCGGGGAGGCGGCAAGGTAGTCACGGGGTGAAGGTATATGTGCGTGCGTGCATGCGTGCACCGGGCTACAACGCCAGGCGCGCTGCGGGCTAGCGTGGGATGCGTCGAGTGCACCCAGTGTGCGATGGCGTGCACGGTCGATCGTGAGTGCATGCGGAGCAAGACGCATCCGTTCAGGGGTCTGTAGCTGGTGTTTGTTAACCGGGACACTGCAAGACACCCAGCCCCGCGCTTGTGCCACGAAAAACCATCTCCGTGGTGCCCAGGAGGGCCGAGCGTGCGTGTGGTGCTTGTGCGTCAGTTGGCGGTGCCTGTGTGCGGTGGTGTGCCCCACCCCATCCCCGCGTACGCGCGTCCTATGTGAGCGGGGGGCCGGTGGGCGTGTCGGGAGAGGCCACGCCGGTGGGGCTAGCCCCACGCGGCGCCACCTCAATGATGCGGGGCTTGTCGATTATGCGGGCTGTGCGGCCACCCTTCTCCACGATGCCGATGATCCACGCCTGGTGACCCTCGCCGTACTTTGGCGATTTGATTTCGGCACAGAACCGCGCGGCCTGTTCGCGTGGCAGGCAAATCAGCAGCCCACCTGGCGAGCAATAAAACAGGAAGCGAACAATGTCAGCATCTAAAGTAGACACAGCATGTAACCAAATAAAATGTGTGCATTATTTATCTCCTTCTAAGCTGGAAATTTCCATTATTGCATGGGATCGACAGCTCGCATTTTATTTCCATAGATGCACTTTGTATTCTATGACCCTTCTTTGTGGTCACACCCAGTCCCTCTACATCCTTTCATCTCACCCAGTCTCCCTCTACTGCTTCTGCCCTGGACCAATATCTCCAAAGGCTTTCTTATTGCATCTTACATGTGTCTGCTGAACACTCAGACCACCTCTCAGGATTGTCTCCCTTTATATTGCTACATTTACCTAATGTTTGAAAACCAAATGTATTTTTACACATCAGACGTAAAAATTTAGTTTTACTTTAAGCCAATATCCAAGCAAAGATTGTTGCTACCACGTCAAAGCAAGCCATATACAGCAAGTCTACATTAATAACATTTAGTCTAAAAGGAACAATTATCAACATATTTTTTATATTAATTGAAAATTCGATCAACTGTCAGTCAGGGGAACCTCCAAAGATGCTCACGGCTTGTGCTTAAGGATAGGCATTTCACCCAATAGCTCATAACTGCTTAAGTCACTTTGTGAAGCAAAAAGCAATTACGAAAAGGCCTATGGATGCTCAGGTTGTATTCAAGATGATTACAAAGTGCTTTTCTTTCAAGCAGTTCATTTAATCTTCAGTAGTTTATATCGTCTTGGGCTGACATAATTGAAAAGATGTGTTGTACACTTGTTGACTAAATTGCCTATACTTGTTGGAAGTATTTTATTGACCGCAAAAACTCAAAGCTACCACTGGACCACATTTTTCATTGATTCATGAAAAGTTACAAACTGCTTGCGTTTATTTAAACATACAAACGCATACACGATTAAACCGAGTTTTCAATTGCATAGAGCTGATGGACTCAGCCTGCTTGTCTGTGCACAAAATCACATTAAATCAGGTGCTTCACGTAAGGATTAAACATGTGTTTTATCGGCATTCACGGGATAACCCTGCGCACAGGAATATAAATCATGTGCTGTTCGTGTGGATAAGGAAGCTTATTGAAGTGAATTCAGAAGGCATCTGTGATGCCACCTTCAGGGGTCTTTTTCCAACATAGTATGATGCACAAAAGCTGAGAGCTCAAAATAAACATTTAATCTCATGACATGATGCCAGTAGCACAAACAAAATATGTAGTTTGTCAATTCACTACTGAAGGAAGGTCTCCCTCGAGCTATGTTAGTCATGAGGGATGGTTGACCATACTTAACCACACTGTTGAGTGAAGGTTCCAAATATTTTATTTATATTGGAGGAATCCGATGAGCTATAAAGCTCTTAAATTTTGACTTAAAACTTTCGTGACTAAAGGAATTCTTATTCTTAGGTTCTTTCAGTAAAGTCATATAGATAGAAAAATTATTTTAAAAAGTTAATAAAAATAATAAAATGAAAATAATAAAAACACCAATTATGACTGTAGGCTTTGTTCTTGATAGGAGTGAGTGTACTGGCAATCTATATGGACTGTAGCCTGGTTATTAAGTTTGGTGAGTGTACTGGCAGTCTATAATGTAGACTGTAGAAATGGTTATTAAACTGAGTGAGCGTACTGGCAGTCTATAATGTAGACTGTAGCCTGTTTCTTAACCTCGGTGAGCGTACTGCCAGTCTGAGCATACTGGCAGTCTATAATGTAGACTGTAGCCTGTTTCTTAACATCGGTGAGCGTACTGCCAGTCTGAGCATACTGGCAGTCTATAATGTAGACTGTAACCTGTTTCTTAACCTCGGTGAGCGTACTGCCAGTCTGAGCGTACTGGCAGTCTATAATGTAGTCTACATTATAGACTGCCAGTACGCTCACTGAGGTTAAGAACCAGGCTACAGCCTACATTATAGACTGCCAGTACACTCACCAAACTTAATAACCAGGCTACAGTCCACATTATCGATTGCCAGTATACTCACTCCGATTAAGAACCAGGCGACAGTCTACATTAGTTTTTATTATTATTTTTATTCACTTTTTTTCTATCTACGTGACTTTACCGAAAGAACCAAAAAATATATAAAGCTCTTTTTGATGTCTAAGGTTGGTGAAGAGGGGCCCACAATCAGTTCAGATATCACTCTTCAGTGATGTTACCAATGGCTGGGATTGGAATGCAGGTCTCCGGGTTCATAGCAGTGTATGAACCATTTTACACCAAATGAGAAGTAAAATGTGTAGCCCTGCAATTGCTTTCACACGCCGCGGCTGATAGAAAGATTTCTACCAGAGGAAACACGAGAAAACCTGATAGAGCGCATGTAGCCTACTTTGTCAACACTGTCCAGACATCTCACAAAAAGTGACCTGCCGATCAACTGTGATGTACCCATTTATGCTGCTGGGTGGTCAGAAGTAGTTCAAATGTAAGAAACTTGTGCATGGGTTCAACTACCGTGCTGGGAGATCGAATTGAACCGGTGAGATCCGAGTTTAAAGTTCAGGTTGCCGACAATCACGACTGACCAAAAACCAAAAATGTAAAAGAGAGAAAAAAAACACGTACAAAAGTATCAGCATCTGGGCGCGCGCTCTGTCTAGACACTTACCTGACGTCTCGGCAGATGTGCCCTGTAGGAGGCCGAAGAGATTTCCACAGGCCTTGCTGATGGCGGCCATCTTGGCGATGACGGGGAGGTTGTGGATGACAAAGGACACCTCGTTGCGCTGCTGCTTGGCCAGGTTCTGCGCGTGACCAAGGATGCCGAAGCCCGTGATGTCCGTTGCCGCATGTGCGTTGAACGTGTGCATCAGTCCAGCAGCTGTGGGAGTTGGAGATGGCATCAGTGCATTATCTATATATATAAAATCGTGCATGTCTGTCTGTCTGTGTGTGTGTGTGGATTTCGGACCATACGCACTTTCATTGGACGGCGGTTGCCCCTGGCAACGAGTAGCAACTTTTCGCCGCGGGGTGGACGCCATTTTTAATAGCGCGGGGGGGGGGGGGGGGGGCCGGCACCCGTACCCAGCGTTCGCCGGGTGGGAAAATCAGGCAAGGCGTGAGGCTCTGCACGGTGCTAGGCCTCGACACCCAACACGCCACTCTGAGGTAAATTCATACAAATTTCACGTCCTCTACAGAGTGGCGAGGGAGGGAGAGTGGCGAGGGAGGGACTCAGCCTCAAAACGAGTAACTGGTGTGGCGTATTAACATCGCCACTGGGGAGACAAAGGCGGCCGGCCGTGGTGGATACAAGTCCCGGGCGAAGCCGGGTAGTACAGCTAGTTAATTTATGATTACGCTTGTTTAGCCAGGAAAGCCTCAATAAGTACCACTCTTTTTCAGGAGTACTGCCAACATTTCAGAGGAAGCAGGCAATGTTGCTATGTGTAACGCCAGTTGAGTAATGTGCACGTAATTATGCAGCAATATGATGTTACATCCTATGTTTTTTGAGCAATGGAAAAAAAGCAGAAAACCAGAATACACAGAAAGGCATCCTAGTCGAGAATTGAACCCAGACCCCTTTTCTTAGCACAGATGGCTATGTACGGTGCCAAAGAAGTTCAACATACACATGTTATCGGGCACATGTGTTACCATGGCACCTCCATTTATACCAACATTACTGCAATATAATTTTTTGCAATCGAAAAATATTCACAATGCCAATGATAACTGTGATATCATGTGACAGTTACTTTGGAGCAATACTTTGGAATCATATAATTTTAAGTGTTAGGCTTTTCTCTACTACCAGTATGAATAAAGATGACCTAAACGTTATTCACCTACATTTTACTCAACATAAGCCTGCCTCAAGTTGTCTAATAATTTTAACTTGACAATCGACGACACTGTTGTTACACAACAAATTGTGTTTCGTCTAAATACAACAATGTGTTAGTATAAACACAACAGGGTACAATGATCGGTGTGTGATACACAATCCCAGCTTAAAAGTGCAATAACATCATTCTTCATCAAGAAAAGCAAATAAAACCCAAGCCACTTTTTAGGAGGGTTCCTGCTTTGAGACATTTGACCAATTCTAACCAAAACAAAAGGTTTAAATTTTTTTACCAGGTAAGGCCCACTGAGCTTTATAGATATTTTTCAGAAGTGACCCGGCTTCAAATGATAATTCAACGAAGTTGCTCATCACGTGTAAATTCATAGCAGCCAAATACTCTAAACGCATGTTGATTCTAAATGTAGAGGGAAAAACCGGAGGACCCGGAGAACAATCCATGCGACCACGGGGAGAACACGCAAAACACCAAATATGCAGGCTTCAGGGTCGAGATTTAACCCACAACCTCCTGCATATCAGGTGAGGAAGCTAAAATCTCGCCACCGTGGCGAGTGTTTAAGAATGTGGGAGGCAACTGTAATATTTCGAGAAAACCCACGTTTAACACTTAAAAGATCCCAGAGTTCATTTCACAAACAAATTTGCCGTACTACCAGCTCTTAACCACACTGTAGCTCAAATTACAGATGAACAAATCCTTGCCTCTGTATTACAGGCATGGGCCACCACGCCCAGTTATATTTATTTCTCTAAAAGATGATCAAGCCAACAAGTTTGTGACGTAAAAATGACAACTATTGCCCTGCTTGTGCACATAATACAAACATTAAATAATAACAAGTGCAGATTGTTCATGCATCACAGCAGACACACCCATAAATCTTGTCATAGGCAGATGCAGCCTATTTCCTACTGACCTGTGCGGTTGAGGCGTGCCATGTTGAACATAGCCTCCTGGTAAGCCAGCTCCACATCCTCTTGTGTAACCACCAGCTTGATTTTATTCCACTTCTCAGGCTGTGCACACGGAAAGAAAAAGATCCTCCATGTTGTCTTTACTAGTCTACTGGTCAAGTAATTTAGCAAATACATATTAAGGGCAACAACGCACATGTGGGGGAAGTGTGGCTAGAAATATACCCATCTGCCTTCGTCTCCCCAGTGCTGATGCTTATCAGTGCACCGGATATTAATGTAAGATTATAGAACATATACAGGTTAAATACACAACGCAGATTGGGTAGGAAATGCCCCTAGAAGGGATGGTGGCCGGTGGGCAAGTCCAACAAAGTGACAGCAAAGGGAGGAAACACACCCGAGTGAAGAAACAGCAAGTGCTAGGTTGTTTATTACATGGAAAGACTGTGGAATATATATCAATGAATGAGGCCATCATCCAAAAGTGGTTTAATAATGATGAATGCTAAATTTATGCCAACTCACAGGCTTTGAATCTCCACTTATTGGAAATTCAAGCCTGTTTTGGCCATTCCCCCCTCCCAACCGAGATGATTTTCTACATTAAAGCCAGGAAACTCCCCATTATGATTGACAGCAAGGCACCACACCACTTATAACATTAAAAGCATGAAGCATTCAGGAGGGGTCAGCACTTGGCAACCAGTTACTGGGGCTGTCCCTTGAGCGCTGCCTTCCATCACTTACCATGTCAAGCCACTGATGTGCATTGACGGCCACCTGGGTTCCCAGCGGTTTTGTCAGCACGAGCACATCCCCTGGCACCGCGTTATCGGGCCTTGAGCACACCCACATACAAGCACAAAACAACATTATAATTTTAATCAGCAGACAAAATCAAATGACACGATGCAAAAGCAGATTGATCTTTCGTACTTAAAACAGCCATCTGCCCGATGCGAATATGGTGCAGATGTTGATCAATTAGAATAGGTCAATTTCTTTGCAGTGATGGCTACAACAGCCTTCGCAAGGAATAACTACAAAGTTGATGAAGTGAAACAGAAAACGGCCGTGCCCGAGGAATTTAAACAAGCTGTGCACACTTCATATCTAACGAAAGCAATAGAAGCAAGAAGTATCCGAGGCTCAGATCAATTCCATCAATTCCTCATTGTCTTCTAAGCCAACACCCGTTGGCACAAACAACTAATAACGAACACGCACGCAGGGCTGGTGGCTCACATGATGAACTCGTTGGGTTGACACACGGTGGTGGCGACGCCCCCGATGACGATCCAGGGGTTGACCACTGTCTGCCCTCCTGTCACCGTGGTTCCCGCCTCCTCCGCTGCGTCTTTGAACCCCCGAATCATGAGCGGTATCACTTTGTCTCGCTCCTGAAACATGAACATCGCAATGCAACAGCAATCTTTGAAGGGGAATGACTGCCGTAACGCCACCGGCCTTGGGCAACGCTGGCACTGAATGATGATAATGAACATTTCACATTACCGTTGGGTTTTATCCGTTTATTGCAAATGACTGCTTGCAAGTAGATGCAGAAAATTACGTTAAAGATTGAGAATATTTTTGTATTAAATAATTTAGCAAGATCCGCAAGTTATGAATAAGGGTGACTTAAACACAATAAAAAAACACTGTCTTGCTTGTACGTGAAACTCAAAATCGAACTGCAGCCTTGCCCAGAATTTACAATTACTATTTAGCTTTGAAGCCTGTTTAATAAGTCTGCACTTATGCCACAGAGCCCCTGTGCATCCACTTCCATTTGGCAGATTCCTGCCAGTGCGTCTGTTACATGAGTTTTCTTGAATCTATGTGAAAAAGATGTAATGGATGGACAAACCTTCTCGGATAACTTCTGGCTGATGGCGAGCAGCATGAGCATGTTGTCACACTCTGTCACCCCCATGGCGTACAGGTCACTCAGCACGTTAGCACAAGCGATCTTCCCCTACCACAAACACACGTACACACATGATGTTCATGAGTTTTCTGCCACCACTTGATTAAATCACGAGCAAGCAGTGCTCCAAATCTATGATTTAACATACATATGCAGACAACATCACTGTGCACAATCATCCTCAGCTATGATCAATCCATGCTGGATGATGACCTTTCCAAGCTGTTGCCATTCCTCATGGTCCTAGGATATAACAATCCATATTCGCATCTATATACAAACTGATTTCGTTGCTCCATGCTCCCTTCTTTGGTTGCCACTCTATCGTTAGTATTGACTACTGGTCATCACCCCTCTGGCAATGTCTTGCCCAAGTCCACTTGTTTTGCTTAATAGTAAACATGCTGTTTGTAACTTTGCATACGTTCTCATATCCATGTGTTTATCTTGCTGTCACCAACTCTCATTCCTGTGATTATAACGATTCTGGTTGATGATTCAATGCAAAGTTTGTTTTTGTATTACATCTCACGTTTTGTCCTGTCTTGTTCGTTCCATTAACTTGATGGTAACATTGCACATAATGTGCTAACATTTTCAATTACTTTACACGTACCATTAGGTGCAAGTGTAGTGCGTGTGACAATATATTTTCATAAATCATTACTTGGCCACTAGGCTTCCTTATTTAATAAAAAAACATCGTATAACACATCAATCCTTAACCATTCAACATATGCACTAAACATTGGTTCCCATCTCATAAATGGAAATACATTTGCATATGAAAAGACAGAAATTAGATGGCTCAGATCAGCGCATGCAATCGTGACATCAAGGGGTGAACCTTGCCCTCCAATAATGCCTTTTAATGATAACACAATCGCGAGGCAATGTTTAAGACAGAACTGGATAAGCGACCAAGACTGCTCAATTACTAAAAGCTCCCCACTGAATGCTTTCTTAGGTTAGGTGCTGTTCTTTCAGGGGGCCAAAATAATCCCCAGGGGCAATGCGAGAAAGATCGATTAGCGTTACACCAGCGCTATAATTACACACTGTCCGTTAATATACCGTGCTTGGGGTGAGGGTCATACCATCATGTAGGGGTCGTCCACAAGTGGGTAGAAGAAGTCCGTCGTCTGGACGAGCGAGAGGCCGCCATGCCTCAATGGAATCACACACGCATCCATGCCGATTCCTGTCCATACACACATACACGACAGGAATATAAGTGCGATGTAACTACGGCCACCAAATCCACTCTTGTGAAGAAAACCATTCACTCACATGCACAGCTAACTAACCAAGATGAACAAGTGAAACATTAAATGGTGGACTTGGCTACAGCGAGGTATTCGCTCCTTTGACGAGTGCAAAAGTATGGTGGGTAAAGGACGTGATTTGAAAATCAGAAAAGCACAATTTTTGTGAAGTGGTTGGTAAAAAGGTCAATAGTTCCTGATCAGCCATGATCAATTCAGGCCTGGCTGAAGGCTTCCCCCAAGTCATTGCCATCTCTCAGTTCAGCAACAGGTCTTACTATTTTTAGATCAGTAGTCCTACTGGTTTGTCCCACATTTGCGCAATGCTGAGTCATTGGTAAATTGACAGTTTGATTTAAAGGTAAAAAGTTATTAAAACTGCACTGATAGCGTTTTAAAAGTCAGGATATGCACTTGTTTATATGGAACTCATTGTGTTGATACGAGCTGAATATAACCAAATCAACCGGAATAATTATATTTTCATATATATTACAAAAGCCTTAGAGCACAGACAAAATGTGCGTGATCTGGTAATATCCAACAAGCTAAGCATTGTCGAGCTTAGATATTGCTATCATCGATGACCAACACCACCTTGCACACTAGGTTGTCATAGCAGGTTGCAGGCTTTACTACGTGGTGGTGAGCACGGCTGTAGAGCTATTGCATTGTTGTAGCACTCCCTTACTCCTTGCCATCACCGAAATTGACTGACCAGCATGGTGAAATATGGTCAAATAACTTCCAACAAACCCTCATGATGTGGGTAGGCCATTATCCAGCACTGAATTGAAAAAAGGACTGTACCAGCTATGCTCCAAGGGCCAGTATTATATAGCCTTTCATGTTAATGAACATACATCTTTAACGTCCTCTTCAAGATGCGGTCTGTATATGCTACCAAGGGGCTGCTGGCAGACATCCTTCGTGCGAGAACTGTACGACTAATAGCCGAATCGTTTTTTGCAATGCGCTTGGGCGAATTTATTGCGACTTCTACGCAGTAAATGGGTAATGTTGTTTGCTAAAGCGCGCCTTAGGGGAATACGCTATTTGCCCTGGGAGCATTTGTTCTTTTGAGATGTAGGGGCCTCTCACGGAGCAGCACCAGAGCAATAGCGCCCGCATCTGCAATGCATCATCAGCTCTGGCAGCTCCCACACTCAGCAAAGGCCCTCTTAAAGCGCCCGCCCTAACACTAACGCACGAGGTTACACACTCCGCACACACACCACGCGCTGATAAAGCTGGAATTAGGTTACGAAGTCCATGGCCCCGTTTCGTAAAATGTTTGACCATCACACGGTGACAAGACATAATGTGCTCGCACGCATATTTCACAGTAATAAACCAGATACAATAAACCAGCACACAGCACAGCAAACGTATACAAAACACAATACAGTAGACTGGGGATAGACAATTTAACATACCAGAACACATACATCTAAAACAGCCCTTTTCAACCCACTCCAAGAAAAAGGGTCATAGGATTAGTATCAATTGCCACTGATATTAGCCGTGACCGGGTATTAGACTCAGTTTACAGTGTTATCCAAGGCGCCACCATTCCATCCCCAGAACACATTCACCAAGGTATAAATAACAGTACAGTATACTGAACATACAATATACCGGAAGCACACACACAGTTAACACGGAGTACACCATACAATACTATAGAGCTCGTGGACATTAAAACACTGTACCATACACAATAGAAAAGCCCACACACATCACTTGCAACAGACAGTGGGAGAGTTCACTCAAAAACAGAGGCAATGTGGACAGTCCATTTCGTCGAACGACTGCAAGATGAGGGTCGTGGGGAGGGGTCTAATTTAACCATAATTCAATCAGTGTGTTCATGAAGTCGAGAAACATATTAGTGGAAGGTGCCTTACTGATAAATGTAAATTATTATATACACCGTACTACTGTACAGCGAAAACAATGGATGCCCCATTGCCCTATAAAGCCCACTACCACGTAGCAGGCAAAGCAGTGTGGCGACCTGTGTGTGCACGGTGGGTCTCATTCTCGTGGCATCATAGTTCAACTTGCTTTATCCCGGGTGACTTGATAACAGGCGGGGACGAGTGCGTGTGAACCGCTCAGAGTATACGTGTACCCCCAAATGTATGCATCTAGGTATGGCTACATAAGATATGTAGGATCAATGGGTTTTTTTTTACCTGGTGACCCTTTTTATTTTTTTTCAAGGATTTGCTGTATACACACCCAGCAGTTCACGAAGGCACCATCTAAACTACACTCAAAAGCCTACAGTATAATTAAATTCAATTGCATGCGCACACATGAACTACAGGGAGGTCTCAGCCGCCCTTCCGAGTACAGTAGCATCGCACAATGACGATACAAAACGGCCACGCACGTGGTCTCCCACCACACGACAACGAACAGTATTATCCCTGAAGCCACGACGCAAGATGCAAAGCAAGGCGCACATATATATCCCCTGCATAATCAATATCGATTAGTTGGCTGCAGCGTCTACCAGAAGCCAGCGGATACTCGCACACAACACGTGTAAAACCCATCTAAAACTAGCGAAGAAAAGTGATTTAAGGATGCGCGTGCAAGCGGTGGAAAGCGCCAGCCACGTGGTTGACGCTTCTTGGCGCGATAAATTGGCGACGATTGTGCCTTGCGATGGTAGTACTGTAATATATTCTAGTGAAAAACACCTAATAGTGATGATGGTGCATGGTGGCGATTTTCGCGACTGGTGGTGGTTTCTGGTAATACGTATTTACATGTACAGCCCTCTTAATTCGTCTACCGCTGGATGATGGCCTCCCACGCCGTGCGCTTGTGGAATTTATTTGGCCATAATTCACCAACCCCGGACCATGGACTTGACCACACAATAAGTGCAATTGATTGATTTTTCTGCAATGCCCACATTTTAGGCTCGCTGCCCTTAAACACCTGTTATACACGGTGATCGCCCATACTAAATGAAACATTTATAAAAGGTATACCAGATAAGGCACATCCAAGCATTATCCAAATTCAAACCTGCTTAGCAAGAGTGGTGTGCATGTGCTGTCCGCCGGTTTGTGCGTGTCTGTAATACATACTGTACATCACCCGGAACGAGCCCTATCAGGTTATTTATAGATATATTTCAATGGAATCTTGAGCCTCAAAGTAAAACATGTGATAACCTCTGGTTTCTGGGCCAGTGAGGTGTGGCTAGTGATTATGTATGGCCAAGAGATCAGAAGTGTATTTCCCGACTAAAGCCCATTGAGCTAAGAACCTCTTGGTTCCAAGGACGACTCGACCGGCAGACATCAACGCATTCCACAATTAAAATTTGTAAAAAACGTAATAGCAATCATGGTGCCAGGTGATATAGCAACGACTGGTTAGTGATAGCGTTGCCCGATGTTGTTGATGATTGTGATCGCGGCGATATGCCTGCCGAGGGCACGTCTGTGCATCATTGCTAACGCCAGGTGAATAATGAACGTGATGGGTGATTGACTTCTCAACCACGAGCGGCTCATTTTACCAAGACGAGGCATGACGGCCCCCATGAACTGTTGGTGTTCGTCCTGGTACGGCCCGTCCTGCTCCAGTCCCTCCAGGAGTTTGAGCAATGTCTCCTGAGGGACCTTGCACCCTCATCCTTTGAGCTCGGAGAACTTGGTCAGTCGGAAACTCTTGTCCAGGTCATGATCCTCGGGGTCGAAGTAGCGGTGCACAGACATGGCTGCTGCTGCTGCAGCCGCCGCCGCCTCCACCTCGTTCAGCTCCTCCACCTCGACGAACTTGTAAAGGCTTACGGCGCCGCGTTCGCCTCCTCAACTACTTTATACCGCAGCGCTGACTTGACGCCTGCAGTTTTAAATGTTACAAAATAAAATCGCGCTTTTAATTTCTACACGACGCAATTACCATTCGCGTCTTTCGCAGCTGGCGGTCTACAAACCCTTGCACACTCAAGAAGCGCGAGCAGCCAGCGAGTTGCCGATGTGCACAACCCCCAAGGCCGCGACGAAAAAACCGAGCGAGCGAGCGACAAACTCGAAGACGCCGCTGGACGACTAACAAAATTATAAATAAGCGGCGAGGGCGGCGAGACAAAGACGGCGCGCCGGTGCTGAGGGCAGAGAGACGCGGAGCAGGAGGAGGAGGAGAGGAGTCTTTAACGCGGGAGCCCCTTAAGAGACGGCCGAGCAAAATGGCGGCGCCGACCAACGCGCGACGCCAAACGCGATTGTATTTCCCAGCGCGCTTGCGCTCGGGGGCTCCGCGCGCCGCCCCCGTCGGCAGAGCACGCCCGCGACTCAGGCGCCAATGGGAGGCGCGGGAGCGGCCCCGCCCCGCACGCACGCGCGCGCGTATCGGCGCTACGATTTTCAAAAAAAGGCGCCCGGCTTCGTTGGGGGGGAGGGGGGGAGGAGGGGGGTTTGAGGGGGAGGGTTGAGGGGGGGGGGCTTGGGGGGAGGGGGATTTGGGGAGGGGGGATTGGGGGGGGGATTGGGGGGGGATTGGGGGGGGATTGGGGGGGGGCTCGGGGGGGGGATTGGGGGGGGGCTCGGGGGGGGGATTGGGGGGGGGTTCGGGGGGGGGATTGGGGGGGGGACTCGGGGGGGATTGGGGGGGGGGGGCTCGGGGGTTGGTTGGGGGGCTCGGGGGGGTTGAGGGGGGGGGGCTCGGAGAGGAGGGAGGGGAGGAGGGGGTATTGGGGGGGGGCTTGGGGGAGGGGGCTCGGGGGGGAGGCTTGGGGGGAGGCTCGGGGGGGAGGGCGGAGGGGGGCTCGGGGGGGGCGGAGGGGGCTCGGGGGGGCGAAGGGGGGCTCGGGGGGGTAGTAAGGGGGTGAGGAGGGGGTCTTGGGGGGAGGGGGGGTCTTGGGGGAGGGGGGGGGTCTTGGGGGGAGGGGGGGGTCTTGGGGGGAGGGGGGGGGTCTTGGGGGGAGGGAGGGGGACTTTGAGGGGGGGGGGGTCTTGGGGGGGGGACTTGGAGGGGGGGTGTCCGTTGCCGCCTGCGCAGAAAAGCGATTAAATTGTTATCGCGTCGCGTTGGCGGAGAGACGAGAATCTGAACGCGTTGGGCATGCGAAATAAATTGCCGACGTTTCGGAGGCGCGGCAGGCCATCTTTTAATTTGATCGCGTATTTAAATGCGCAGAACACGGGCCGACTATTTTTTTGTTGGTGCCGTAAGCCCCCGAAGTAAGGACCCCTTCCACATCGTTTGCGCATTTTCCCGCCAAATTGAGAAGCCGTGAAAAAGGCGACCTCGGATTTGCGCTTCTGTGCGACAAAAAAAAAATATACGCTCCGAGCGATACAGACCAACGCGGCGCAACATTTGCGCATTAAATGGCAATTGCGGAGAGCCACGAGAGACGGCGACCCGTGGCTTTTGCGGCGACCGCAAGGCGCGACTCGCCGCCAGTGCGCGGGGGTTGTGAATGGGCGAGGCGGCCATTTTGCAGGGATCTGAAGGCACCACTGCCGAGATTTTTCGCGAAATAAAATGACAAATTCCCACCATATGAAAGTCACAAGCGCCTTACAAATAGATTGCATATTATAATTGCACCTCTTATCCCACGCCTCCTCCCTCGGCAATGCCGTACAGTAATTATATTAAAGATCCAGCCGTCACTTCGCCGTCTAAACTCTACATTATTCTAAAATTACGTGCCCGAAAAAATAAATAACATTGCACAACCAAGACACCATATTTGTGGATAAAAATATTCACCTTAATATTTTACCGCATAAAAAAAACGCCAGCAACTATACCATGAAATATATAAGGCGACGTTTCGGGTATTGGTCCTCTAGCATATAAATCGTCCGCGACGTCACCATATTTTAAAACATTCCTGTCAACCCCTTATCAGTGCCCTACCTTATTACAGACCAATTCAGACCTTATTGCCCTTTATAAATCTCAGCGTTCACCCTACAAAGTCCCATCACAAGGGAAAAACGCAAATAGACAAATTTTTATATTTCTGCCCGTATGGAAACGGCTGTACGCCGTATAGACCTGAAAACTCAATTTCCCTGTACAAGAATACGGGTAATCCATAGTATGGGTTGATAGGAATGTTACCAATTGCGGTGGATGTATAGACTGGCAAAGGCGGGTGTGGGCCAACCATCCAGCAGTGGATAAATAGCAGCTGACGATAAAAACAATGGGTTAAGTTGTAATTTACACAACCAAATGTATTGTTGACCGTGGGATTATACAGATGAAACATTCCACCCAAAAAATATACCGCAACTTAAAAAAAACAAGCGTGACCCATGAACCCAACATTCGTAGCCACCTTAAGACTGAAAGAATGTATTGCAGGACATGAGTGCATCTTTGATCTTTCACGAAGCTCATGGTCCACCTTAAACCGCATCTGCAAAAACCATGACAGATGCCCAAATGGGAAATAAAACCAACTCTCCAGGAGTGTGCGACTGTGTTCATCCAGAACAGGCCGTAACAACATTGGCTCAACGACTGGCTGATCCACAAATACGAAGGAGACATTACGCGATGCACTCTGGGGCTTCACCACCGGAATGTCATATTGTAGGTGTTGCTCTGCGTCTACCTCAGCCGTACGAACGATGAAGTGCATCTTTATGTAATTCATAATGCAGTACTCTACGCGCTTTATGCTGTAAAACATTTTAAAGAACACCCGCAGGCATTTGGGTTTAACATTGTTGACAGACAATGCCATTATACGTATCGTTATGGTGACAGTAGACTTGAATCCAGCAGTGGATAGAATATGGCTACAAATGATAGATAAGATGATCAGGTGAGGGCCCGTTTCGGCTTAAAGTCCTCTTTTTATAGACACTTTAAGTAGTACAATGTGCATTATAATGTCCTGAGTTTACAAGATTCAGGAAACATGCAGTCGTTGAGCCAACGTTTGTTTGACATTGGGCAAATGTTGGTTGAGCATTAGACCAACGTTGGGTCAAAGTTGCATGTTTACTGGGATACGTATCCAGTCATTCCAAAAGTTAACATCTGACTTGGCTTCATGAATACTGTAGTCATCGGGAGTGAAACTCCAATTGTTCGTGGGTGCCTATGCACGTCTCAGATTTTCCATGGCCCTAATCTGCGAAGAACTCGGTACACCGATGGATTCATGTTTTCCCCCCTCCAAAATATCATGAGTGACCCGGAAGTGGCAGGCAAATTCATCATTCGCATCGATCCATGGAATAACTGAATGGATATCAGTATTTTTTTTGCGGCTGGGCATGGATAATAGGATTTTCTAATGGCATGCACATTATATATACAATTTAAGAACTTCTATTGACTGTAAAGAAACGTATGTGGGCTTGGGTGGGACGCATCGCTTGAATCGATGATGGCTGATGGTCAAGAATAATGACCCAGCGGAGGCTGGCGAACGAGAGGAATGCATCCGAGAGAATGTCCACTGAAGAGACGGAGCGATGAAATCAACTCTTGAGCAGAATATAAATTATTACACATCGCAGGATCACAAGAGATGGTGGCTTGTTTGGCAAGGGCTTCATCCATCAGTGGATTGACCGTGGCTGTGAGAGATGATGGTTGGTTTATGGTGCACAAATCTGTACAATTGACATTTTCCTCAACTCATCCAAGATGCACACAATTTGAAAACATATAAAAGCATCACCTGCACATGAAGTATTTTATGAAACATAAAACAAAAGTTTTATTACATTTATTAAACTGTAGCCTTTATAACAGACTGTAATCCCAGTGCTATATATCACCAATAACGCCACACAGTGCGAGGGTTGATGCATACATACATACATTAGTACCGTCACCATGGACACCCACCTGCGCATTGCAGGTACTTGTGTGTACTTATCGAAGGGTCAAACAAAAACAACGACTGCACTTCAGTCATTCCAGAATCACCGGAAACGTTCAAAAGCAGTCATTCTGACGAGCTAATAATAAGGCTGCTTTCCCCCCAAATCAAAATCCAATGTGCTCTAATAATTGTTTTTTTTTACCCTTCTATCTGGCAAAAAAACTGACACATTTTTACAAGGAGTCATGTTTGCATAGACCGCAATACCTGCAGTCATAATACAAACAAAAGACATAACTTTGATAATGTGCACTGTCCTTGAAGTTGATTGTTCCACACCCGAGACAACTTTCCTTAGAGCCTAGTCTCACATGGGTTGGACCAGATGACGCCAAAAGGCGCACAACTCAAAGATAATGCACCATCAGAGTATGAGAGCTCGGGGCAAGCATCTACACTATGGGAACATCATTTGCCAGTAAAAATATCATATTTTTACTGGCAAATGATGTTCCCATAGTCCAATGTGCTCTGCTTAAACACAAACTGTTTCACGCTGCACGTACCTGATGATTGGTAAACGCATTTCGCTGGTAAACGAGTAGAAACCACCGATTAAAATTAAGATCATCAATCTTCATTGGGTGAGAGGGGGGGGGGGTATTTCAAAATTTAACGCACTGCACTGTGAACCTGACGACCTGAGTTTGATTTCTGGCCATGACTAACAGTGCGGGCCATTGTTATCCAAATCGGCACTGGGCACCCACATTCACAAACCCGCGACGACCGGCCTGGTGGAGTTTAGTATTTAATAACAAAAAACCCTCCATGACCAACATGGCATGGGGAACCGTTCATGCCAGCCGTAGAATGATAAAAGGATGTGCAATAATTATTAATTAGAAATTATCTGGATTTTAATCAGCACTCTCTACGTTATGTGGGACATGTTTACAAACAAGCAGGTGCTTGCAGTGTGTAACAACTTAATTTGAATGCAGAAGATTAAACAAACGTAGTGGATCAGGAGGAATCAGAATCATAATACAGTGTATTTATTTATACTGAAGGAATCTTATGAGCTATAAAGCTCCTTTTCACAGATGTCCAGTAGCATCTCGGAAACTTGGTGGTACAGGGTCACTTTGTAAATGGTTTTGGATCCATAGACGTAGTTATTCTATCACGGTAGGGTACAGTCATTTAAAAACAATGGCCATTTCTCAGCAGCTGCAGATTATGCCCAAGTACTCTAGTGTGGTTGTCTAAGACCAAATCACCCTAAATGTGCCCGTTCATGTCAGATTTTGGATGCATGAATGAGTGACATCAGTTCTTGCCAGCTGTTGGAGAGATGGGGCTGTGAGGTGGCCAAAAGAAGGCAGCATTGAGTGTCACCCTCTGGTATACATGGGTTTTCTCTGGGTTTTCGCTGGTTTACTCGCACACAAAGGCAAACATTTTTAATAGAATGGGTTAACCACTCCAATGTAGCAGGACCCTCGTGAAAAAGGGTGTTAAGACTCGGCTAAATAATTTTAAAAAGTAATAATTCAGTTTTAGACCAATTAGTCTCCCAATACTTGTTTTCAATCATAATAAATTGGATACATGGTTTTATAGGTCATCTATAACTGTATTACTGTTTACAAAACAGTGATATTACAGGGCCTGACATTGGGCAACATCTGGGCAGCCGTGTCTTGGCCTGACATTCCACAATTCAAAGTGGGACCTAGTGGATTCTGACGTCGATTTCCTGACACGTAGTGAATTTTACACAATCGCAAAGATTAGTGCACATCTCCAGCCTTAACAACAAGGCCTGATCCATTTTGGGAATGACAAACTGCCTTACCGGTACAAAACGCACTCATAAGATGGAAATCTCCTCTAAAATAGCCCTTCTTGCATATTTAACTCTAATGAAGTGGCAATGTTAGGAAAGTGTACTAACTTCCTATGCATTTCTTTACTTAAGCATACAGCCCAGTAAACATGCAAACGTTGGCTCGAAGATGCATGTTTATTGGGAGGCCCGTGTTTATGGGAGCACCAAGGTAAGAACGTAAGCGCTATTACAGATTCAGCACCACCGCTCACAAAGTTCCTGGGAAAGTGGGTCTGGCGGAAAGCTTTCATCTTAATTCTGACGTTCTGTAGTGTTAACTCTCGATTATCCAGGGTAATAGGAGAGAGAGCTCCAGAGTGCCCCTCTCGGGGGTATTTGGCCTACTGTTCCATGCTCTCCAGATGTTTTGGAAAAGGCGGACGTACCCACACACACTTTACCCCACCACATGTGACCTGCCGCTAAACTAACTGTCGTGTTCTACCGACGTGACTTTACCGAAAAAACCTAAGAATATGAATCCTTGCAGTCACGAAAGCTTCAAATCTAGAATTAGCTGTCGTGAACCAATTTATACTGTTTGGTGAACCGAGGTGGGAAGAGGTGGATTTAATAAACTTCTCATTTGTTTCAAATGCCATGCCTGACAGCACACAACAGTCTACACAATGGCCTACTCTTGCTAATGACGTTGGGTGATCTTTAACATGCACTGCGAGCGAAGCAGACGGCGCGTAGTATTATTATCGTCATTACCCACCGCAGGTAATAATCAGGGCGGCCGCTGGATTCGAACCTTGAACCTCTGTAACAAACGGCAACCGCGCTATGGCTGGGCCATATGCAAGATAGGGGTGAAGGAGTGCTTCGTGTCCTCTTTTTATTGCATCTTAAAGTCAGCAGTTTACTTGGCAACATTTTTGCGGTCACATTTGAGCACTTAGTCACTGACCCTGGGATGAATGAGGGGGCAGTTAATACTTAAACCAGAGTGTAATTGAAAATAGCAAGCTTCAAACCTCAACCTGGATAATCTGCCCACGGATAATTGAGAGTGAACTGTAGGTACTTCCAAATGTCAGGTTAACAAACACTATTGAATAAGTGGCAAGATATCCAAAAGCGGACGACAGCATGGCTATCACTGGGTTTTAATTTGAATTTCTTGTTGAGATAAGTGCTCTTTATTTCAGTATAAAATAGTCAGGAAAATTGATACGTTTTCTCACACATGTCAGATACTTATTTGTAATCATGATAATGGCCAAACATTAACAATTGTATCGGTCATACATCCCCATGCAGGACTCTTACGGAAAAGAGTCTTGATACTCAATGAATACTTCTTGGGTATTATTATTATTGTCCTCCTCAAAAAAATATCCCACTGAAGATGAGCGTAGAGATTAACCAAATCTGTAAATGATGAAAAACCCATCATAACAGAAATATAGTATATGATGGAAAACCATGAGTTTCAAACAACGCACAGAAACGATTAGAAGAAGAACTCCGCTTTTGTGCATCATGCAGAATCCGTCATCAGTTCCTGAATGACTGCATTGTGGTCCTCTTGTTTTAGGGCCAAGTAATTTTTGACACGTTTTTACATGTTGTTTGAAACATATTAACACAAATATATATGGAAATAAAGCGAATTTGAATAAATGCATTTATGATGAAGTGGCTTAAAATGTGAATTATTTTCTTATTATATTGGTTACTCGGTGTGTATCACCATTATATTATGAATTCCGTGGGCCAAATCACCTGGAGTGCACCACAACACTCATTGAATGCATCCTAAATGCGTTTGTGAAAAAAAAGATCAGTTACGTAAACATAATTCCCCCCGTCTGTGAGTAGGATACATGTTTGGGAAGGACGTGTACATTTGTATTCACTGTATCGATTTTCCAAACAACCTTTCTGAGAATAACAATTGACACTTATTCGAAGAAGAAAAAATGGAATTGGAAACCTGGTAACTGTAACAAAGAGCGTATCACAGCGATAAGGCAAAACTAAACAAACAGCAGCAGAGCTATACACATCGTGGGTCTATGGCTTAGCTACAGAGTGCGCAGGGGGTGCAGCTGCGTCGGGCCAACGGACCAAATGGAGCCCAGGTGAAGAGACAGTTGGCAATTTGCCAGGGGTGGCAGCGCCCACCTTTTAATTCCTTGCACTGCCATAAAGACTCGCACGGACATCCACAGACACGCATAGCTTGAAGTTGTGATTAAACCATATTCTCAGGTATTGCGAGTTAATGTTCTCAGCTCGGCCATCACCGGACTCACAGATAAATCCACAGATTACACAGAGACCCAAATATTACGTGGAGACCCAGAGACTAGCGGTTCTAGTTATCGAGTGTGCAGGTGGTCCAAGAGCACCAGGATTCACGAGCCAGAGAGGCCCAGTTGCCGGGTTATGAACAGAGGGGGGTAACATTTTTTACAGACGGGAGTGAGTCCATTTCATTCCTTGAATCAGGGCCTATGCCAACCACACTACACCACTCTCTTTGGGTGTTGAAAGGATGGAAGAGTCCAAACTCCGACCTAAGTGCTGAATCTAATTTTGCAAGCCCACGGGCCTCATGGTGTGACACGCACAGCTGAAGGAGGGGTGGGGTGGTTCTCCTCTCTCCTGTCTCCCTTACTTTGAGAGAACCAGGAGTGGTGATGTCGTTGTCATTGGACTTGCGCACTCAGTTCTGGCACGAAAAGTAGTGCTGCACCCTTTTGCTGATTTCCTTCTGCAGTTTGGAGGCCCTTTCCTCTAGGCCATCCAGCTTGCCGGTGGCATCCACCAGTTTGTCAGCCTGCGATTCCAGCAGCTTCTCCAAGTCTGCAGAGAGAGAGAGGGCACGGAGTGAGATGAGGGCATGAGTGTGTGTTTGCTCCTTATAGGGGGACAGGCCATCTATTTCATCCCCTGGCCAAATCCCATGAGGCAGATGGGGCAGCTGTGGAGAGAGTGCAGACGTTTCCATACCTGCGCAGTGTACTTATGGCCAGCTCCAGGTTGGCAGAAGAGGTTTAACTCTGTATTAGTCGAGCAGCAATATATTTTCTTCAGCTCCGATGTGTGGAAGCTACCTGGCCTGCGCTCCACATGACATCTTGGGTCTTCTCGGCCAAAATTATGCCCTTCCTTCTATACACGTGCGAAACCTGGACTCCTCTAATGGAACATCTGTGCCGGTTTGACTTGATCAAGCTGGCCTACCTATGACCCATCCTGGGTTTAACCAGGCTGGATTGTGGGAGGAAGAGGTGAGTGAAGGACGCTACTGGACAGTTGGAAGCAGTCGCCCTCTAACAACAATAGAGGGCAGAGGAGCGACGCTCACCACAGCGAGTGGAGCACCAGGCGGCGAAAATACGAAAGGGAGCACCGGTGGTGCATCTTCCAGTCATCTCAGTCAGTCAACCCATGATATAATGGATCTGTCCCATGACCTGTCAGCAAGCCTTTGACACTTCACATGACCTCAAAATGCACCTGGCCTGGCACTGGCGTTGTGGTGATGCCACCACCACTTAGTGGCATACGACGGTTGTTGTTGTTGGTGTGGTTGTAGTCACATTGGTTGTCATGGTGATGGTGTGGGGAGCGGTAGTGTAATGATTAGCGCTCTCCGCGACGAACCAAGTTCAATTCCCGCTCATGGCCAACACCAGTGTCCTGGGCCTCATTTAGGGTGACTCAACCTCAATTGAGTACCTTGTAAGATGTTGAAAAACATTGCCACGAGGGAGACAAAGGTCGCCGGGCATGGTGCTGGCCACTCACCCCATCGTGTGCACTTGCCCCAACAGTTTGATAAAGGCTATACGAGGGATCTTTGCCTTTGTGTGAATGTACTCGTGTGTTTACCATTAAGCCGCTTCATCTTGTCCTGCACGTCCTGGAGCAGCTGAGATGCCTGGTCGTGCAGCTTCTCGGCGCGCTCCCTGGCCTTGTCGCTGCCATTGGACCGCGAATTCATCAGCCCTTGCATTTCTTTAAATTTATCCTTCACTTCTTGCAGCTCCTGCACACGCGCATGCATGCACGCACAAGTGGCGATGAGTAGACCATTACCGGGGTGCAAGGTGATACCGGTTCTACGGCTGTGGTTCATCACGAGGCGAGGTTGCTGCACTGTAGCAGAGCAACAGAATTTCTTGAAATACTGAGCCTGGTGAAACGAACCCTAAAACACGAGTGAAGCGCTGAACAGAACGAGCCACACACGATCTGCGTTTGCCTATTGTGCATTTCGCTCTAGCTCTCACACCAGTCCTTATGCAATACACCGTCCCAACACTTTTTTTTACTTCGTCCGTGGGAACTTAGGCAGGGGTAAGTGTGCGCATTCGTCACACACATCTGCGGCGACGTCGGCGTTGACGCGCGCCTGGGCGGCCTGCGTCGCGGCATCCTTGGCCGCCAGCTGATTGGCTGCGGCCTTCTCCTTGAGCGCTTGGACGTCGGCGGCCATCTTGGTGAGACGATCCATGGCATCCATCAATATCGCTCCCGCGTCCCCAGCCTTCTTCCCTGCCTGCAAGGGACATGGGGGGATGGCCGCCCTCGGTCATCGTTGTTCAGCAATAACAATGACGACGACGATGTCAGAAGCGACTGTTCAAGTCACGTGGAGTTGGCCGCTACTCTCACAAAGTGCTGCATCACCCCGCTCTAGAAAACGGCCCGTGGAAGAGTTTTGTTGAATGTCACGGTTGCTGAGCACAGGCCCAAACAAAGGTCCAAAATGCCAAGCAGCCAGCAACAAGCAGCACTTTTGAAGCTATAATAGAAAAGACTGGAAGAAGTTAGTAGGGAGGATGAGCCTTCAGCAGCATTAAATTCGGGGTTTAAAACAAACCGAACACTACACAAATTAAATGTCTACCGTGAGTGTCAGAGGTCCAGTTGCATAACACTCCTGAAGTGAAATATCCCTGTACGTCACGCCAATTTACATTACACTCAAGACATTTTTATGCCACTGATATTTGGCCTTGGATCAGCCGAACACCAGCCGAAGGTGGTCACCAGGCTGAAGCAATCCTGGCCACGTACCCCATGCTATGCCGTGCCTCCCTCCCCCACCCACTGCCCACCCTCCGCTCCCCCCCCCGTCACCTCATCGATGCGGTCCTTTGCCGAGTCAATGTCGCGTTGGGCGTTGTTGATGGCCGCCTGAGCCGCGCTTCTGAGCGTCGTTGGCCTCCTGCAGTGCTTGCACGACTTCCTCGGTCTTCTGCTTCACCGCCTCAGCATCCGCCCTGTGCAAGCACAGAGACAAAGAACAATCCCGCTCCGTGTAGCCTCTGTAGGCTGTTGGGGTAATTCCTGTGAGCAAGCAAGATGTGGATATGTGGCCAGAACCAGCTGTCTATGACTCCCCAATGTAGATTTATTTGCATTAGTCACTCATTATTGGGGCTGAGTCAACATAGGGGAGGCCCAGGACCTGTTGAGATAATTGCCACTGAATACAAAGATCCCCTTTATAGCCTCCGCAGGCTGTCGAGGCAAGTGCTTTTAGCAATCAGCAATTAAGGCAGCCATGGCACACGATGGGGTGGTGGCGCCAGACACCACGTCCAGCTGCCTTGGCCTCCCCAGTACTGATGCTTACACACTGGACTAGGCGCTCGAGTGGACTTAGGGGGGGTGAGGCCCAGGACTTGGTTTGGATTGAAAAAAAAAATCGCCACCGATGTTAGATCACACATCTTACTTGGCTTTTTTGGCTTCGGCGAGCAGGCGCTGGGCGAGTGTCATGTTCTTGGCCGTCTGCGCCAGGATGGCGTCGACGTCGGAGAGGCGTGCCACGCTGTCGCGAATCTGCTGAGCCAGCGCCTCGGCCTCCCCGGGCGTCACGGGCAGCCCCAGCTTCAGGACGTTGTTCGCCACCAGCATGATGCTCTCCGGGTCCGCGCCCTCCTCTGCGCAACCGTAAAACACCGCCACCCCACCCCCGTTAGTGACATTGCTATTCAGTGTGCTGGTGGTGCAATTGGATCGAGGCCCACGATTCGTTGGCGATGAAGAGGGTGGAAAATCGGGACAGCAATTCCCATTTCATTCATGCCACTCAGGATTATTTTTTTTGTCATGGCTGGAGAACATCATGGACCATTTTTGAGACTTTCAGAAATTAATTTGGGAATAAGTAATTGATAATTAATGACGTTTGTTTCAGTTTACATAAATTTTATATGACATAACATGTATATTATATGCAATACATTTTATCTCCCAACACGATCTGCTCCCTCCAAAGCGTTAAGCTGGGTGTGCGCCACTGACTGACAGGGCCCATGCCACTCGCCGCGGGTCGCCCATCCAAGCAACATTGCGCACTCATTACACACACAAGTGCTTGCCATAAATGAACCACAATACCTTGCTGATCTCATCAAGAAGCATAAACCATCACGGGAACTCCGGTCATCCTCGCAGCAGCGGCTTTTGACTAACCATCGAACAAAGATTGCGTGCATTCAGATACACGCAATGCAGCAGTCTGGAATGCTCTTTCTTCCAATATTAGGAAGCCACCGGAGCTATGCACTTTTAAATCTAGATGGAAAACTCATCTGTTTAGAACTGAATTTTGCGTTTAATTTGTTGTCCTTACCCTGCACCTCCAATTAGCACGGTTGGCTACGTGCGGTGCGAAATAGTTCAACATACAGTACATACAAATTGGAGGCAATTCAGGTGATTTGGTGATAAATATAGGCTCTGCAACAGATTGGTGTGAGCTGGTCCAAGTCTCAGTGCATCGGGGGGGAGAAGACTTGGGGATGGTGGGTGGGGGTGGATTGTGGGCGATGCCAACCGTTGAGGAACTCCTTGATCCGGGCGATGAGGTCCCGCAGCTCGGCCACGGCATGCTCCATCCCGGCTTTGCTCTGCTGTGCCCGGTCGAGCGAGCGCTGCGCCTTGTCGCGCATGTCGCTCGCCTCGCGCTTCACGTCAGCCACCTGCCCCCCACGCGGGTGGGCACAGACACGCACAGAAAGAGAGATGTACTGTATGTATAGTATGTTGAACTTCTTTTGCACCGTACGTAGCCAACCGTGATAATCAGAGATGGAGAGAGAGAGAGGGAGACGGTCACCTTCATCCCCGACGCAGGGATCGGGCGAGTGCTGTTCGCGGGGCAACTATTGGAGGCCAGCACTGCACACGGAGGTGTGGTGAGGCCAGCGCCACGCGATCAGGATGCCTGCCAGGGGCTAGTGCAAAGGCCTAGTTGACTCGTGTGTAGAAAAATGGACACAGCGCGAGTCGTGTTCGCGAGCATGGAAGTACATTCCCGCGTTTTTGGGGACGATGTTTGGCACGGAGTCGCGGTGAGAACGACAACAAGACTGCGCTGTGTTGTTGCTGTACCTCCAGGGTATCTCTATCAAATAGTTTTCATTGTTACGGACTATCCCAAGTGTTATCATCTGTGACTTATACAAGCGAGTATGGTGCCGAGCAAGAAAGTAAACAACGGTTGATACTCGGCGCTGGTTGACCATTTTGTTCATGTCAGGGAGAGTGTAACAAGCTGGTTGACTGGTTTCACCAGGTTAGGGTTAAGGCAAGAGTCTATTTTGCTCATGTGTGCCACTCACAAACAGCGGGACCACGCCGCCTTAGGACCAAATTCCCTTGGTGTTTAGTTCTGAGGGCTGATTGAGAATAAAATAAAATAAAGATTGTAACACCCCCTCCCCGCACCAATTTCATCCTCATCGTGCCTGTCAGCTGCACGTCACGACACGAATTATCGACTCAGAACTCTCGCAGGGCAGTGCAACTCCTTCGGCCATTCCCCGACACGAAAGGCCGCGCCGCTCTGTGACAGATCCGAATAGATTGTTCGTCATGCAACGCGACGTCGACAGCAAACATGCGGAATTTTTTTTACTGGAAATAGAAACATTCGCCGGAAACACAAGGGCACCAGGGTCCCCCGGAGTTTACGGGCCTCACCTTAGTGGCCATCTTGTCGAGCTCTGCCGACGCCCTCTTGACCTCGAGCTCGGCGTTGTGGGCACGCGCCAGCGAGTCCTGCGCCAGCGTCAGGGACCCGCCGCAGCCGGGGCCCCCGCACGCTGGCCGGCCCGCGCTGTCCCGGCAGCCGCCGCCCCCGCAGCGCGACTCGGAGCATGGCAGGTCGCCGGGGGCGCCGCACGTCTGTGGGGCGCCAGGGAGAGACGATTCGGTTGAGAGAGATCGTCATGACCAGCGTGGTGAAGTATGGTCAAACAACTCCTACAACCTGCACAAGCACCTGTGACTATGCACGTGGAGGACCACATAAAGTCCTTACATGGCCTTTGATTAAAATCACCCATCTGGGAAGATGAGCAAGGTTGAGCCTGAATACTACTTTGCATGAGAGGTATTATTGGCCGAGGGCCTACACAGTGGGTAGCAAAGGGCAGAGCAGCAACATCCATTGCTGCAGACAGGAATCAGAGCAGTAGCAGCAATAAAAGTGACAAGAGCGTGACAGATCGATCACCGCGGTAGTAGAAATAAACGAGTGGCAAGGAAGCACCTGAACAATCAATCACTGTCGTAGCAACAATATAAGAGCGACAATGCTATCCACGCTGGCAGGTCCCCTCTGGCCACAGGGGGCCGCGCGCCACGGCACTCAGCACCTTCTCGTTGATGCGCTTGACGCTCAGCGCCGCCACCTCGCGGTCCAGCTCGTCCAGGCTCCTCTTGCTGTTGGCGAGACGCTCGGCCAGCGACGGGTCGCCGGGGGCGCCGCCGCCGTGCCGCATCAGGTCCTCCGCGCGCCGCCGGGCCTTCTGGGAGGCACGCACGGGCCCCGACGGTCCCCCAGGCCGCCGTCTCCGCCTGCTTCTGGGCATTGCGCGAGTCTTGCCACGAGCGCCGGATGCTGTCGAAGTCGCCTGTGTACATGACGGTGGACGGGGCGGAGGCAAGGACCAGAGGGGCTTGCGCAGCGTGGTGGGCAAAGCCACCAAACGTCCCGGTTTGGCCACGACTGTCCGAGCAATTTAGTAAAGGCTGTTCCGGTGTACCCACCCCATCCCCCCACCCCCCCACCAAAGGTATTGGGATTTCGTCGCTAGTTTAAAATATCGAGCCTTGTGTTCGATTCACGATGCGGGAATCTCTATCTTTGCCTGTGTGCGTATGTGCTTGTGTGAGCCAGGGCGAGGTGCAGGAGCCCCTTTGCTCACCGCTGAAGTCAGAGTTGAGGATGCCCTGCAGCCTGGAGTAGGCCAGGGCAGCCGACGCGTTGAGCCGCAGGGCGTCGCGCTCCAGAGCGTCCAGGTCGAGGTCGGTGCGGTCGCGCTGACCCTGCAGAGACTTCACGGACGCCTCGGCCACCGAGACGAGCTGCGTCAGACGATCCAGCTGCCGCCTGTGCAGCGGGACAGTTGAGATGAGACGGGGAGATAGGGAGACGGGGGAGATGCACAGAGGAGTAGACACGGAGGCAGGAAGGCGGAGAGATAGGAAGACAGGGAGTGAAAGAGATGCTGGAGATGAAGGGAGGAGGGGATGGGAAGAGGAGGGGGGAAGAGGAGATAGGAAGGCGGAGGAGAGGAGGACACGAGGAGACAGACAAGGAGAGGAGACGTGTGGGTGGGTTGGCTGTGAGGTGCAAACCCAACACCCCCGGGTCCAATGTCTCCCCCACTTGCCATAGGTGAGCACCTGGTCCTCTTTGGCCCCATGGTGCCCCAGTACAGGTGCACTGCCTGCCCACTCTGTAGCTTCCTTAATTAACACTGAGCCCTAAAGAGCCGAGTAAATCACAATTAACTCAGTTGCATGGGCCCTGGCGTAAGGAACTAATTAAGCTACCCCTCCTCCTGTCCAAATTCCCTTCCCCCTTCTTCGTACCGTGGAACCTGGGCTCCTCTTCCGGCCCCACGGTGCTCCGGTGCAGTTGCACCACCTGCAAACTCGATAGCTACGTATGTATGTTGAACTTATTTCGGACCGTACGTAGCTAACGGTGCTAATTCTGAGGAGCCGCTGGTTTTCGGCCAGCGGCTCCCTGGCGCACCACGCCTCTGCTGCGCGACCTCTGACCTGATGTTGTCGCGCAACATCTCGAGGCGCGCCACGTCGCTGGGCCGCTCGTTGCCCTTGGCGATGATGTCCTGCGCCTCCTTCAGCTTCTTCTCCAGCTCCTCAAATCGGCCGTCGTAGGCGCCGGAGATCCCCGTCTGGTCCATGACAAGACGGGGTTGTGGGGGGGGTGAGACGCGCGATGGATGCGCATGCGAGCACGTAGCCCCCGAGATTGTCGAATGCAAAAAATTTTTTTAAACTAGTTTCATTTTCCCAGGTGAGGCCCACCGAGCTATATGATAGCTCATTTGTGGCCAAGTGGCTTGTCATGTGGAAATGTATTGCAGCCAAATACTCTCCAATGCATGTTTCTAAGTATATTTTTAATAGGTTGTATATAATTCATCGTTGACACCATAGGTCCCCTGGTTCCTTCTGGTGTCAGAATGAGTACTAAAATTGTTGTCTCTCTACAATGAAAATTACTCAACTGAGCGCTGTGACTGACTGACACAGTCAGTCTGACTGACCCAGTCACTCTTACTGACTCAGCAATTGGAAGGTTGCTGCAAATTAAAATCTTGGATTAGGAATTGACTCAGTCCATCACCTCTCCGGGGTCAATAAAATGAGAAACCATTTTGTGGGGGAAGTCAACAGTGGTTGTCCTATGCCCGTACCCGACTCTGTCATGGGAATGTTGAATTTCCCCAAGTGGTTCAGGATTGTAAATGGGAGCTAAGCACCGCCTCAATTCTCCTTTGAGCCGGAAATCTTGTTGTTGTTGTCATTCCATCTCTTAATATACGTCTCCACGCGACGTTTTATCGGTGGTTGGTTTTGACATGTGGAGGGCAGGGGTGGGAAGCTCTCACGTCGGCGAGCTTCTCGGCGCGGTCCCGCAGGGCGGTGGCGCGGGCGCAGAGGGCCTCGATCTTGCGCGCCCACCACGAGAAGCACGCGTGGCACGGCTTGCAGGCCGGGAAGTCGCCGGCCGCGCCGCGGGAGCACGCGTCGCAGCGCGCGCCCGTCACGCCGTCGCGGCACACGCAAGCGCCCAGCTCGCGGCGTCGCACGTGCCGCCCTGGGGGTGGCAGTCGCACGCTGCAAAGGCAAAGATGAAGATCACCCGTATAGCCTTTAACGGACTGTCGGGGCAGGTGCTGTTAAGCGAGCGCGCATGAAGGCCATGGGGGGCTGTGTGGCCAGCACCACACCCGGCCGCCTTTGTCTCACTCTACTCATTGGAGGCCGAGTCGACCTCCGAGGAGAGGCCCAGAACCGGTTCAGATAATCGTCACTGGTGTTGGTGGCCGTGAGCAGGAATCAAACTCGGCTAGACTACCGCTCCCCAAAGTCACACGCTGCACAAATGTACGGACAGACACTTGATAGAAGCGACGAACCAGCACTCACTACAGTCACTTTCGCTTGATCACCAGCATTCAGTCGCCTTCTCAGAACTCATATATCACTACTACCATGCATTTGCATGCATAGGGCAATTTTGGCAAATTCGGACCATGACGCTGGCACATATGGCTTCCTCTTTTTCTCGAATAAAGTTTTGAATGAATGGTGCAGAGAGCCCTTCACACATTCCATGGCGGCATTACGAATCGTTTTCTAAAATAATTTGCACAGTGCCGCAAATTTGAAATCGCTCTGTGCTTAATAGTCGAAAGAGGCATAGGTGAATTCCCAGTGTGGCTTTGGCTCTTAAAAATATAGAAAAACACGATAGTACTACCCGAGTGTGTCACGGCCTTAGCAGGTTACTGGACAAGGGGAACGAAGAGGGAGGGAGGATGATAGGGGGGTGGGGGGAGGAAGGAGGAGGAGCCAGTTGTGCGTCCCCGATACTCACGCTTGCATCCCTTGTCGGGAGACCCCCAGTGGTTGGGGCCACAATCGTCGCACGTGCGACCTCCAAACCCTGGGCGACACTCACACTGCCCGGTCACCTGGGACGGGGAGGAGGGACACACCGGGGGGGCCACTTGGTGTGAGTTACGCGCACACCTCATTCGCTCAATCGCTCAGACATTTACTCACTTGTTCAATCGCTCACTCAAATTCAGTCACTCGCTCGTTCGCTCACGCATTCGCTCGTGCAATCGCTCAACCAATCACTCACCAATTTGATCACTCACTCGATCACTCACGCAATCACTCAATCGCTCGTTCATCCCCCCACAGCTGCTTGCCCCAACGAGCAATGTGGAAACGCTCGTCTCTGTAGACGGCCCTTAACAAGTGATGGAAAGTATGCATTCCCATGGCATGCCGATCAGCGCTAAAGAGTCCTGTGGGCCCAGGCGTGGTCACCTCACCTGGTTGCAGGTCTGGCCGCGAGCCCTCGCCGGGTTGCAGGCGCACGGTTGGCAGCCGCCGCTGCTCCCCAGGCCCCAGTGTCCCGGCGCGCAGCGGTCGCACGAGCTGCCCTCGACGCCAGCCCGGCACCGGCACTGCCCGGTGCGAGCATCGCAGCGGCACGGCTGCGCACCGCCAGGGCAGCTGGCGGGCTCCGTGCCGGCCTCAATACAGCTGCAGGCTGAGCAGAGTCAAACGTGCGCGGGTTAGGGTACGGGCCAAGCAGCAACGATCAGTGCACACGTAGGGTCCGGCACAGACAAACTAAACTATTACTTTTTATCTTCTTGGTTCTTTCGGTAAAGTCACGTAGAATGGAAATAATAAAATAATAAAAATCAAACATAATAAAATAATTCTCACGACGTTTCGGCCACGACGTTTCGGCTACAACGCAAGCAGCCGTCCTCAGGTGAAGAACAGCTCTGTCGAGAAGACAGAGTCAGACTCCGAGAAGACAGAGTCAGACTCTGTCTTCTCGACAGACCTGTTCTTCACCTCAGGACGGCTGCTTGCGTTGTGGCCGAAACGTCGCTGATAATTATTTTATTATTTTATTATTTCCATTCTACGTGACTTTACCGAAAGAACCAAGAAGATGAATCCCTGCAGTCACGAAAGCTTTAAATCGAAATTTATTACTTTTATTTATTTATTTTACTAGGTATGGCCCACGGAGCTATGTACATCTTTTTTCAGAAGCCACAAATGATAGCTCAACGAAGTGGCTTATCATAATGTGGAAATTTATAGCAGCCAAATACTAAAAATGCATGTTGACTCTAAGTGTGGAGGGAAAACCTGGAAGACCCGGACAAAAATCCACGTGACCACGGGGAGAGGGGCATGCAAAACTCAAAATATACAGACGTCAAGGTCGGGATAGAACCCACGACCTCCTGTATACCAGGCGAGGTAGTTAACATCTTACCACCTGCCCCTGGTTTTCCCAGGACAGGTAGGCAAACCCGTCTGCCGTCCTGAGAAACCTGTCCATCTTCTCCGGACATCAAAAAATCCGTTTGATTTATTTTCAGGTGCGTAATAATAACCACGATGCACCGCTCAAGACGACACGTCGTGCTCCCCCTCTCACGGGGCGTGAGAGATATTTCTCTTCCCCTGACATGTCCCGGGATTTTTTGTTGTTGTAATTCAGAGGCAGCAACCGTAATGGAGGGGTGGAGGGCATGCACTGTTAGTGAGCACCTGGTCAATGCTGCACCGCAAAGACAGCTTTGGGTGATAGTGTTTGGGTAATTATTCGGGTTATGGACATTATTATTTATGAGGATATTTAGATATTGTATGCCTGAGCTGTATAATAATTTTTCTCGGTCATATTAGGATTAGGATTTTGCTTCAGGGTGAGAATATGATTAGACTCGGGTTGGGAATAAGGATACACTCAATATTAGGGCTCAGGCTATGGTTATGGTTGGTGGGTTCAGAGTAAAAATTATGATTAAAGATATTATTAGGTGTTCACATCGCGGTTAGCGTTGCCTTTATTATTTGCGCTTGTTTTAGGGTCTGGGTTAAGAATGAATGATGGCATGAATGCGGTGACCTTGCCTAGTATAATGGATACTGTGTTAGAGTCTGGGTTAGAGATTACGGCCGTCGCTCACGCTCGGTTTATCATCACGATTCAGATGGGACGACCCCGACCGCAAAGATGCGTAGTAATTAAATTTACACACGCAATTTCATTACACCTATGACTCATCATTCGCATCTACAATACACAACTGATCTCCATCGGGCACACTGCAAGGCCTGGCGGGAGGAGCAAGAGTCCAATATAAAGGAATGTCGGGCCAATGTTGGGTCAACGTCGGAGCTAACGTCGGAGCCAACATTGGGGCAACGTTGAGGCAAGATTGGGTCAACGTTTGACCCAACATTGGGGCAACGTTGGACCCAACATTGGGGAAAAGTTGGACCCAACATTGGGGCAACGTTGGACCCAAAATTGGGGCAATGTTGGACCCAACATTGGGGCAACATTGAGGTAACATTGGGGAAACGTTGAGCCAACATTGGAGCAACATTGGTGCCAACGTCAGGGCCAACGTCGAAGCTAAAGTCGGGGCCAACGTTGCGGCTAACAGTTCCAATGACATCGCCAACAATGGCCCAGCGTTGCGCGGCGAACTGGGAGGGCGCACGCGTGAGGGAGCCGCTCACGCTTGCAGTCCTGTCGCAAGGCGTCGCCGTAGAAGCCGGTGCGGCACTTCTCGCAGCGCTCGCCGTGCGTGTTGTGCAGGCAGCGCTGGCAGCGGCCGCTCACGGGGTCGCACGCCTTGGGGTCGCGCGGGTCCACGTTGCCGCTGCAGTCGCACGATGAGCACGGCCGCCCGGCCACGGACGGGTCGCCGCTGAAGCCCGGGGCACAGGCCTCGCACCGCAGTCCCTGCGCGCGCCGCAACAAGCCCTGGCCGTTTACTCCACCGACGGCCCGGCGTCACAAGTTCACTCGACAGCTCAGAGGTGACAGCACCTCGTCGGTAGTGCGCAACAAAAGATTTGGCGTCGTCGCCGTCATCTTCATCGCTTGTGATTTATCTGTATAAACATCTCGTGCGAGACCCAAACATCGCACGCATCCAGGCTTCGGCAGTCCTCCTCATCAATTGCATCAGAACATCAATGGGCCGATGCACACAACTCCTTCATGAGTGGAAAATTAAAGAAGAGCAACAGGAGCGCGATTGTGGCCATGCAACTCAAACTGTGAACCAATGCAGTGAACCATTGCAGTGTGCGCTCCTTCAGCGGAGGAGGGGATAGCAACACTACACGAGCTCTCTCCTGAAGGCCTCTCGTAGCGAGCAGATGTCGCTATTGGCCATTCATCAAGAATGGAACAGAAATATCAGCCTGTAGGATGAAGGCCTGCCCATTCCGTTGACATCAATCGCAGCACCTCGGGAGAACACACGGCGCTCCGCATACAGTCACAGCGGTGCGCGGAGCTAGCAGGAGGTCGTGCCGACCAAGCGAGGGAAGTGCGACCACGGTGCGGCCGTGTGGTGCACAGCGAGGAGGGAAGCATCACGGTCAGAGTGTTCAACGCGGAGAACAGAGGGAGGAGAGGCAGCGAAGATGAGGTGGAAGGGGAACACGAAGAGGGACATTAGAGTGACAACAAGAGGGGGTGGGGGGTGTAGAATGATGGGAGGGGCGCAGGGGGAAGGACTCCCACAAACATAAGTGGAGGGGTGCGACCCGGATGGCCGGGCCCATTGCAACATAGGAACAGAGGAGTGTCACTACAATCTCGCTTCTCTCCACCACCGGTAGGGGGAGGGGGGTCACGACCGCCGTTGCCACGGCACCGTGCTCACCCGTGTACCCCGGGAGGCACTGGCACACCGCGCCGCGCGTCGTGGGGTCTGTGCTGCACGTCGTCGCGAAGAAGCGGCCACTGCCCGGCTCGCCGGGGCACGGGCACGGCCGGCACCGCCCGCCGGAGCCCAGGCGCGGGTCGCCGTAGTAACCGGGCTCGCACCTGCGGGGGGGATGGGGGTGGTAGCGAGGAGGGGAGGGAGGGGGGTGGTGACAGAGGGGGGAAGTGGCAAGGTGTCGTCATGCGAGTGCACTCCCTTCCTTCCAACTTTGAACGAATTTGGCTTTCCAATTACACTACGCGAACAACCTTCCATGAACGCCTGACAAAGGTAGCCGCCGAGACTAAAACAAGGGTCAATATGGTCCAGAAACTGCTACGGACATCAAGGATGGCCCTTGTGGACTCTGTAGCCGAGTACTGTGCACCAGTGTGGACCAGAAGTCGTCGCACTCGACTTGTTGATGGCCAACTGAACACCGCAAAGCGGTGTATTACTGGAACCCTCAAGTCGATCCCAACACCCTGGCTGCCAGTGCTGTCACGAATCTCTCTCCCCACCAATTCGCCGCAACGCTGCAACCCTCCGGGAAGCCTTGCGAGGAAAACGGTCGCCTTCCCATTTAGCAGGAACTCAATAGCATTCCTCTTCATCGCTTGAAGTCATGCAAGCCCTTTTGGACTCATGCGCTTAACCTTAAACAATGTGAATTCAACCCCGATGGAGCTTGGCGAGCTGAATGGAGTTCAAAAGAACTCACAAACAAACACGTTGTGAAAGACCCAACGCAGAAGATCAATGGGTTTGTTCTTCCACGAAGCTCATGGTCCACCCTAAATCGCATCCACTGCATGAACCATGGCAGTCGATGCGGATAGCTGATGGGAAATTAAAAATGGAAAATTAAAAACTCTCCAGGAGTGTGCGACTGTGGTCATCCAGTGCAGACCGCATAACATTAAATGAGGCAATGCCCAATCCACAAATAGGAAGGAGACGTCACAGCGATACACTACTCCCCGCTGCACCTGACGTGCTTGTCCGGCTTGACCATCTGTGAAAACTACTGGACAGCTGTCAAAAAGATCTTAATATTTAATCAGACTCCTCCAGTATCAATAAAGATTCTGATTCTGAATGTGAAATTCTAGTTCTTGCTCTGCATCTGCATCAGCAATACGAAAGAAGAAGAAGAAGACTGCAATGTCACGCCTTGCCATGAGATGATGCCGCTTCCATTTGTAGTTCTCACACGGCACAGTGCAAAGCTTCGTGTCGGTTCACAATTATGCTGCCCTCACCCCTTGCCCACCTCTCTCCTATTTCATGTCACTCGACTCCCCTCCGCGCACTCTCCACCCTAGCAACTAAGCCTTTCCTTCGCTCAGTGGGGGGGGGGGGGGTCGCTCATTCTCCTCTGCTGCCTCCACAGTCTGGAACTCATTTCCCCGAGCTGTCCGGGCTGTCGACTCTCTGCCTCCGTTCACGACCTTCGCCCTTCTCCTCTGCCGAGGACCAACTTCCTTTTTCCGTAAAAAATTAATATTCCCACTTTTTTCTGTTCCGCGTCTGGACCTGCGGTCGCGTTTAGCCACCGCCGTACGAATGCGCGCCGCGTCATTATCTTTCAATGTCCCATTTCATTGACCAAGCAGGGCCCCACTGAGCTACGTAGCTCTTCTTCAGAAGTGACCTGGCCACAAATGACAGCTCAACAAAGTGGCTTCTCATCACGTGGAAATTTATCGCGGCCGAATACTCTAAATGCGCGTTTCTAAACGTGGAGGGAAAAACCGGAGAAAAACCCTCGCGCTTCTATGGCCCCACTTGTGTCCACCTTCACCAACACGCACTGACCAGCACGGTGAAGTACTGCTTAAATCACACCTCCAAATTTGCAAGCGTCAGGATCGAGATCTAACCCACCACCTACTGCATACCAGGCGAGGCAGTTAACATCTTCCACGACCTCCTGCATACCAAGCAAGGGAGACGATATCTCGCCACTGCGGCAAGATGCTGCGTGATCGACCAACGGGGGGTGGGGGGGGGGGTGTCTAAAGAGTTCAACACGTAGGCTATACGCGACCAATATTATCCATTAAGTTGCTTTTTTTAATCTAACCCGAAAAAAACCTCTTACGGGGGGGTGGGGGTGGGGGCGGTGGTCTAAGGATTCCACAGGCGTGAAGAAGCCCTTTTCCGTCACGGGACCCATCACCTGTCACAGTTCTCTCCGGTGGAATGCTCCAGGCACTCGTGGCAGCGACCGCTCTCGGGGTCGCAGTCCCTGGCTCGGCCGTTGCACTGGCAGGGGGTGCAGCGCGGGAAGCCGAAGCGGCCCGAGTCGCAGCGCGCGCACTCGCGCCCCGCCACGCCCGGCAGGCACAGGCACTGGCCGCTCGCCGCGTCGCACGAGCCCCCCGTGGTGCCGGCGGGGTCGCACGCGCAGCCTGCAACGCGCGCACACGCAGCGGCCCGCACGTTGATGTGTGTTGCGTGTATACGTACGTATGTGCGTTTTAACACGTCGGCTTTCGCGACCAATATCATCCGACCAATATCATCCATAATATACGCGAAAATGTTTATGGATGTATGTGCGTGTGTTGAACTTCTTTCACGCCGTATGTAGCCAACCGTGCTAGTCGGAGGTGAGGGGGGAAGGACAAAAAACTAAACACAAAAAGCAGTTCTAAAGAAATACATTTTCAATCTAGATTTAGCGTCCGAATATCAGAAGGAAGAGCGTTCCAGACGGCCACAGAAGCGGGTCTGAAAGCGCGCGATGCAGTGACTGTCATTGTTCGATGGCGCGCCACAAGCTGCTGCGAGGATGACCGGAGTTCGCTTGATGGTTTAAGCTCCTTAACGAGATCAGCAAAATATTGCAGTTCATTTGTGGCAAGCACTTTGGTGTAATAAGTGTTACCTAATAATGTTAGCGCCGTTCGGATGGCGATGACGATGATAACGGTAACAACAATATGAACATTGTTATTTGTTTTCGATTGAGCGCCCTCCACACCAGGGCCTCTCAAGAGTGCTGTACAAACCATTTAAAAACATCACTGATGAACTAGTTACATTTTAAGAATGGATGAAAAGCAGCAAAAAAATATCAGGTTAAATAAATGCTTGCTACGAGAAAGGGGGTGAGGAGGGGTGGCAGGGAAGGGAAAGGGGGAAGTTGAGATGATGGTTGGCTACGTACGGCGTGAAAGAAGTTTGACGTACATACATGACGATAGGCCTCCTCACATGTGGGTCATGGGAGTTATTCAAGCAAATCTCACCGTGCCGCTCGGTGTGGGGTGGTGAACATCGTCGATATGACATCACGCTCACAGAGTCGTTATGTAACACGTGCGTGCACGTGCATAGATGGGGAGCACAGGTGGTGCATCTGCCAGCCATTTCAGGCATTAACCCATCACATCTGGGTCTGTCCCGTGACCTCCTGTCAGTGAGCCTTCGACAACTTCACATGGCCTCACAGTGCACCTAGCCTGGCACAATCGCTGTGGTGACATCGCCAATTAATGTCGAACGACGATTGTTGTTGTTGTGTATATATGCGCGCGTGTGTGCGTGTGTGCGTGTGTGCGTGTGCGCGCTCGTACGTTGGCAGCCCTCCGGCCCGAAGCCGAAGGTCCCCGGGCTGCAGGCGTCGCAGCGCCGGCCGATGACGTTGGGGCGGCACAGGCAGTGGCCGCCGAGCACCTCGCACACGGAGCTCGTCACGCCCTGGGGGTTACACTCGCACGCTGGGACGGGGGGGGGGGGGGGCATACAGAGCTCGTCACACCCTGGGGGTGACACTCGCACGCTGGGACGGGGGGGGGGGCACGGAGCTCGTCACAACATGGGGGTGACACTCGCACGCTGGGACGGGGGGGGGGCACGGAGCTCGTCACACCCTGGGGGTTACACTCGCACGCTGGGACGGGGGGGGGGGCACACGGAGCTCGTCACACCCTGGGGGTGACACTCGCACGCTGGGACGGGGGGGGGGGCACACGGAGCTCGTCACACCCTGGGGGTTACACTCGCACGCTGGGACGGGGGGGGGGCACACGGAGCTCGTCACGCCCTGGGGGTTACACTCGCACGCTGGGACGGGGGGGGGGCACACGGATCTCGTCACGCCCTGGGGGTGACACTCACACGCTGGGATGGGGGGGGGGCACACGGATCTCGTCACACCCTGGGGGTGACACTCGCGCGCTGGGACGGTGGGGGGGGGGGGGCACACGGAGTTCGTCACACCCTGGGGGTGACACTCGCACGCTGGGACGGGGGGGGGCACACGGAGCTCGTCACACCCTGGGGGTTGCACTCGCACGCTGGGATGGGGGGGGGGCACACGGATCTCGTCACGCCCTGAGGGTGACACTCACACGCTGGGACGGGGGGGGGGGGCACAAGGAGCTCGTCACACCCTGGGGGTGACACTCGCACGCTGGGACGGGGGGGGGGGCACACGGAGGTCGTCACACCCTGGGGGTCACACTCGCACACTGGGACGGGGGGGGGGGCACACGGAGCTCGTCACACCTTGGGGGTCACACTCGCACGCTGGGACGGGGGGGGGGGCACACAGAGGTCATCACGCCCTGGGGGTGACACTCGCACGCTGGGACGGGGGGGGGCACACGGAGCTCGTCACACCCTGGGGGTTGCACTCGCACGCTGGGATGGGGGGGGGGGCACACGGATCTCGTCACGCCCTGGGGGTGACACTCACACGCTGGGACGGGGGGGCACACGGAGCTCGTCACGCCCTGGGGGTGACACTCGCACGCTGGGACGGGGGGGGGGGGCACACAGAGCTCGTCACACCCTGGGGGTGACACTCACACGCTGGGACGGGGGGGGGGCACACGGAGCTCGTCACGCCCTGGGGGTGACACTCGCACGCTGGGACGGGGGGGGGGCACACGGAGCTTGTCACGCCCTGGGGGTGACACTCACACGCTGGGACGGGGGGGGCACACGGAGCTCGTCACACCCTGGGGGTGACACTCGCACGCTGGGACGGGGGGGGGGGCACACGGAGCTCGTCACACCCTGGGGGTGACACTCGCACGCTGGGACGGGGGGGGCACACGGAGCTCGTCACGCCCTGGGGGTGACACTCGCACGCTGGGACGGGGGGGGGCACACGGAGATCGTCACGCCCTGGGGGTGACACTTGCACGCTGGGACGGGGGGGGGGCACATGGAGATCGTCACGCCCTGGAGGTGACACTTGCACGCTGGGACGGGGGGGGGGGGCACACGGAGCTCGTCACGCCCTGGGGGTGACACTCGCATGCTGGGACGGGGGGGGGCACACGGAGGTCGTCACGCCCTGGGGGTGACACTCGCACGCTGGGACGGGGGGGGGCACACGGAGCTCGTCACACCCTGGGGGTGACACTCGCACGCTGGGACGGGGGGGGGGGCACACGGAGCTCGTCACGCCCTGGGGGTGACACTCGCACGCTGGGACGGGGGGGGAGGGAGTGCACATGGCCGTGGCCTCCAATCCAGCACGGTGGGGGTTGGCAGCGAGTGTTGGTGGATCGTCGACGACTTTGTGAAGCCCCCTATCCCGTGGGCGTCGAGGAGCAGGAGCCGTAAACCCCGGCTCGCCAGCAGAGGGCAGTACAACAGCAGGTGGACGAACCTGCACCTGTGAGTGCTCGCCACGCAGCCCAGAGTACTCGCCACAGCGCTGCTGCGAAATCGACCACTTGGGGCCGGCCGTGTTTTTTATTGTTGTCGTCCCCTTTTCACGTTTGGTATTTTGGTGCCCGCAAGGTGCCGTCAGTGCCCAGTGGAGTAGCTCGAGAGTGTACAGGCGGTGCAACTGCACCACGGCCCGCCGGCCGCAGGGGGTCCAGGCACTGGGCTACGAAGGGGGAGGAGGAAATCGTGCACCAGGGTCGAGGCACTCCACGCTTCACCGCTGGGTTCAGTGTCAATTGCTGAGGCTCATGAAGCCAGGTTAAGGCTCCCCCTGAGGGAAAGGAGGGGCCTAAGGGGGAGGCTAACAATTGTACAGAGGTGTGCCCCCCCCCTGGGCCCACCTCTCCCCCGCCATGTGATTCCTTGCACCAAAGCAAATGTGAACCACGCGACGTGACTGCGCAGCGCCACAAATGGGCAGGAGAAATAATCAAATAATACAATCGTCAATAACATTGTGCAGCCTTCAAAGAGAAAAATGTACAAAAGGTGACGTTTCGGGCAATGGCCCTGTTTCTCACGGCACATTGGGTAGGGTGCGGGGGGGGTCAGGTCAGGTGTCGGGGGTCGGGCGGTCACTCACGCAGGGGCCCGTTGTGCAGGATGCTGGAGATGGCGCACACGAGGGGGCGGCAGGCTTCGGCCAGCATGGGCCGCGTGGCGTCGCGGTACGCGTCCAGGCACATGTAGCGCTCCAGCTCCTCGCGCCGCTTCTGACCGGCGCTGCCCGAGAACCCAGGCAGCGATGGGACGTACGGGAACAGCACCAGCTGCGCGGTGCCGGGTGGCGGTGGCGCCGGCGGGAGGAAGGGCGGAATGAATACGAGGCACCGTGGGATTTTCGTGTAGATTGCAAATGCGTCGCGGGGAGCAGTGGCGCAGCGGTTAGCAGTCAAGGGACATGCAATAGGACCCAAGCTGTGAATGGTGACTGTTTTTTGATTGTTGTGTGTGGCTATACCTGTCTGTATGTGGTGAGTGGTATTGTAGCGGTCAGCGTGCTGCGCTACGAACTCACTGGCCAGAGTTCGATTCCCGCTCACGGCCAGTACCAACACCAGTGACAATTATCATCTGAACCGGTCCTGGGCTGCCCCTAGGTTGACTCAGCCTCAAATGAGTACCTCTTGCAATGTGTGAACATCACCACTAGGGAGACAAAGGCGGCCAGGCATGGTACTGGCCAGTCACCCCCTCGTATCCTGTTCCGGCTTTCATCAGTGCTCGCTAACAGCACTTGCCCCAACAGTCTGTTAAGGCTACACAAGGAATCTTTGTCGTTGTCTTTGTTGTAAATGCGACCGCATCTCAAACCGCTATACGGAAACAATACAGCGGAGAGGTAGTCAGTCTTACAGGCAGAGGCGAAAAGGAGGGTCTTGAACGATGATGGTGATGATGGTAAAGTGTTGGTGATTACTACAATTCGGTGATGGTAATGGTCATAAATGTGATCTTTATAATCATGATGATGTTGAGGATAATAATGTGGGGATAATAATGATGATGTAGTGGTAGCAATGATGATGGCGATGCCAACAATTGGCGAAAAAAATATAATTACCACAATTAAAATCGTTATCAAGTGCAGGCAATTGTGACGGTGATGATGGTGGCGAAAATGGTGACGACAAAGATCATCTCAACACGTGTTTTATTGCCAGAAAGGGTACAGCCCATCAATCTATATTTGAAGCTTTCGTGACTGCAGGGATCCATACTCTTTGGTTCTTTCGGTAAAGTCACGTAGGTAGAAAATAAAATAAATTAAATCACGACGTTTCGGGCGCAACACAAGCAATCATAATCAGGTGGGAAAACCACCTGATGATGGACGCTTGTGTTGTGCCCGAAACATCGTGATTGAATTTATTTTATACCTACGTGACTTTACCGAAAGAACCACAGAGTATGGTAAAGCCTATCCTTATATTTTTTTACATTTTGATACTGGTAAAAAAAAAGGTCCCATAGATATAACTGCTCAACCACAGTTATTCATACTCTGATACTCACATTGCCTTTGTGCTGTTCGTCTTGAGGCATTCTCTGGTCGAACGCCGGTGGTGACACAAGGCCATCAAATAATGCCGTCTTTGGTGTAGGCCAATCAGTTTCAAAGGCAATGCATATTGTATCGGAGCGTGTTTCTTTGCATGTGTGGTTAATGCAGACTTTGATGCCTTGCAGTAGGTATCCCATTTGGTGTTTGAACATCGTTACACCTTTCTCTCACCTGAAGACGGGTTGCTTTTTTTTTCTACCTACGTGACTTTACCGAAAGAACTAAAGAGTATTGTTAGACCTGTTTAATTATTGCCAGAAAGGGTGAAGCCGATTCTTATCACATCAACGGGTCGCAGCTCCCCAGAGATTTTTTGGGTCGATCGGCACGATGCCCGACGTGGAACAAAAACCGAAATCCAGTTCCTGAAGAAGCTCCCGGCACGTGGAGCGAAACGTCGTACATCGTGCCGCACGACACGCGATGCAACCCAGAGAGAGGCGGCCTCACGCATAAACGACAACGACCACAACGCCGATGATGGCGGCGCCAAAGCGCAGAGCTCGGCGCGTGTGTGTGCGCGTGTGCACGCCTGTGTGCGTGCGCTGTCTCACCGAGTCGACGAGCATGTGCGCGTTGGGGTGCCTGCGCGTGGACCGTGCCCGCTGCACCACCACCCGCACCACGTACCGCACGCCCGTCTCCAGACACACGGCCACGGGCATCGACGCCACGCTAGGAACATGCACGCACGCACACACACACGCACGATTGCACGCACGTACACACGTACAGACACGCACGCATGTGTGGGGGAGAAGAGGGCCAGGCAACTTCTGCTACATTTCAAGGTGAGAGACCCGGCCAGGATCCACACTCACATCAGAGGGGGTGCTCACCCACAGTTTTATTTTGGCTGTATTGAGGACCCAGAATTTTTTTTCCTGCATCCGGCACACCACATCCAGTATACCCCTCGCTATGGTTACGGTTGCTTGTGAGGTCGTTTGCAATTACTTCGACGTTGCCTTGCTACTCCAGTCCACCGGTGACCCGGAAATATCACTGCGCCCGGCACACCACATCCAGTATGCCTCTCACGCTCTGTCCGTGGCTGCGAGCCGTGCTTGCTCACCTCTGCGTGGGGTTGAGAGGCACGATCTGCATCTCGTCGGACGGGAGCATGTTGGCACAGCGGCTCTGCGTGGGCAACGATTGGGACAGCACCTGGACCTGCGCCTCCCACGGTTCGTTCAGCTGCGAACAACAACACCAACAACGACTAAACAATAAACAACGCGCACATTTTGCACAAAGACTCGACGTCCGAGTGAGACTCGGAAGTGCAAAGAGTTAAGCGACAAGACGGCAGATGCGTACATTAAACATCACGATAATTCGCTAACATTACTCACAACGCTGTTGGTACTGCATTTGAACGTCGTCACATGGCAGAAGTGGCCATTTCTTCCGCCAATGCGACTGGAGTCACTGATCTCAAATGACGGACGACGCAGTAACGCCGGCAGCGTTTCAGATATTCACTGGGCTATGTGAACCTCTATTCGAGTCTACAGATCCCTCTGTGAGTTAATGGTGACGGGGGTGAGAACATCAGCTATCTACACTGGAAAAACCAAGTTTAATCGCTGTGCTTGGTGCGGCAAGGGTTCGGCGTCTCTGACCCCTGCGACGCTCGGCCGCCTGTCCGTGGAAACCGCAGGAATCACACCGCGCGTTGCCCTGTGCCCGGCCGAGTACCGGCGTGGGTGAGAAGGGGCTCGCACCTCCGGCTTGTAGCGGATGGCCACCGTGTATTCGCCCGAGTAGGGAATGTTGCTGACGGTGAACTCAAGGCCGGCGCCGTCGCGAATGCGTGCGTAGCCGGACCCCGTCCACGTGACGAGCGTGCCGGGCGCGGCACTCCCGGCCACCACCACCACCGGGAGCTGAGCACACGCACGCAGGCGCACGCACGCAGGTACATGCACGCACGCACGGTGTTTACGCACGGCTCCGCCACCCGCGTGGCTGCACCAGTGGCTGTAGTTGCCCTGAGAGCTACGGTGACACCAACAACGATAGACTAGGAATAGCAGCAGCAGCAGTGGCCGGTAGAACCAGCAGCAGCCATAGCACCACCAGCACCACCTGCAGTGACCAGTAGCAACAGCAGTATCAATAGCACCAGTAGAAGCCAATTGCATCAGTAGCACCAGCAGCCAGTAGCACCAGCAGCTGCCAGTTGCATCAGTAGCACCAGCAGCAGCAGCCAGTTGCACCAGCAGCATCAGTAGCACCAGCAGCGTCAGTAGCATCAGTAGCACCAGCAGCATCAGTAGCACCAGCAGCAGCCAGTTGCACCAGCAGCATCAGTAGCACCAGCAGCAGCCAATTGCATCAGTAGCACCAGCAGCATCAGTAGCACCAGCAGCAGCCAATTGCATCAATAGCAGCAGCAACAGCCAGTTGCACCAGCAGCATCAGTAGCACCAGCAGCATCAGTAGCACCAGCAGCAGCCAATTGCATCAGTAGCACCAGCAGCCAGTAGCACCAGCAGCAGCATCAATAGCATCAGCAGCAGCCAGTTGCACCAGCAGCATCGGTAGCGCCAGCAGCAGCAGTATCGCCAGGTGTAGTTTTCAGTGTCTCACTTTGGCGCTGGAGCCGGGACCGCCCGGACTGTTGTGGCCCGGGACCTGCATGAACTCGTCACAGTCCGACGTGTTCCCCTGCAACACAGCACCACCGCGCGGCGACACGGCGTGACCACCCGGTGGCTGTGGCGGTGGAACTGATGGTGGTGGTGGTTGTAGTGGTAGTTGAAGTCAGGCTAGTGGTTGTGGCTGGGGTGGTGGTGGTCATGGTGGTGGAGGCGTGGCCGTGGAGGAGGAGGCTCGTGAAGGTCGCTACTGGGCAGTCATCTCAGTCAGTCAGCCCATGGCACCTGGGTCTGTCCCGTGAACTACTTGCAGCTAGCCTTCGACACGTCACGCAGCCTCGAAGTGAACCAAGCCTGGCACAGGCGCCGTGGTGACGTCACTGTGGACGGCGGTTGTTGTTGTTGGTGTGGTTGTCGTCATGATCAGAATGTTTGTTTTAGACTAGAAGAATCCGATGAGCTTTGAAGCTCTTTTCACAGGTGACCAGTAGGGGCAGGTCGGAAAGTGGTGGTCATGGTGGTGGTCATGGTGGTGGTGTGGTTGTAGTCATGGTGGTGGTGGTGTGGTTGTAGTCACGGTGATGGTGGTGGTGTGGTTGTCGTCACGGTGGTGGTCACGGTGGTAGTGTGGTTGTCGTCACGGTGGTGGTGGTTGGCCTGGATCGTTCCCACACTCACGACAGAGCCTCCATGTAGCGGCTGCACGGGCAGGAACGTGGCGTCCTCGGCCTCGTAGGCGTACAGGTCAAGGGGCATGCAGTAGTACCCAGGCTGCACCTCCTCGCAGCGGCGCCCCAGCATGTGGGGGCGGCACTGGCACTGCCCGTCCTCCGCGGAGCACCTGCCGGGACCGGAAGAGACAAAGATGGGTGGAAGGGTGGTACGGGTTGGGTGGGTGGGGACGGGTGGGGTAGTGAATGGAGCAGGAGTTAGGGGCCGTCCATGAATGACGTCAAGCACCTGGGGGTGGGGGGGGGGGGTTAGACATTTGCGACGATGTGTGACAAAGGAGGGGCGGGGGGGTTTGAGAAATTTGACGTCACGTAAAAATTCGCAACTTTAAATAAATATAGACAACATGTTCTACTTAATTAAATAAACTTTTTTTTATAAATGTTTTCTTTCTCCTACAACATCAGAGAGCAGCGCCACATTAAATACGCACTACAATGACAATAGTTTAAAGCAATTTGAAGCATGTTTAAAATTTTTGGGGGGGGGGGCAGAGTTTTGTGACGTCATATTTGAGGGGGGGGGTCTGACTTTTTGTGACGCCGTGTGACTAGGGGGGGGGGGGGGTCAAAAATTGTCCAAAATCGCGTGACGTCATTTATGGACGGCCCCTTACGTTACCACAACAAACGGAAGGGGCAATTTAGGTTAGAGCCACGGGCCTCCTCCTAGCGAGAGGCTGGCCATGTAACCACAGCAGTAGCAGCAACATAGGCCACTTAAGTAAAATCATTGATATCTGGATAATTGGAGTGTGGATAATTGGGAGATGTTTGGTTAATTGTGTGGATACAAAGCGAGTATTGATTAATCAATGAAATTAGAATACTCACAGGATACACGCGCCGTATCGTGCCTGTGAGAATCAATGATCTACGTTGTATGAGGATTATACGCAAATGACGCGATTCTATTCCCGAGAATAATTGGACAAAGGGGGCAGATGGAACAGAACATAGATGATTAAACGGGCGATACAAACAAGACGCAGCAGACGAGACAGAATAAACTAGACCGATTATGCAATGAGAATAAATGCAGAGAGAGTAAAAACAAGATGATGCTTGAATTGATTAATTGTCATATAAGGCATATTTAGGCAAAAATGTATCAATTCATCAATTTAATTTCTTTATATACTCCTAATCAAGTAAAGTAAAAATAATAGGGTACCACGTTGTGCTTCTCTGCCACCAATGTGATCAAGCGCGCGTTGACGCAATAATTCGGCGATTATTTGAGAATCATCAGCCCCGGCACTCGGGCATCTACACCGGCGATGAATCGGCTTGGCCCACGAATCGTCGCGGCTTCGTGACCGCTCGTGACCGCGCGTGCCCGTGCGCTCGTGCGTCCTCACGTCTCGTCCACGGAGCCCCCGAAGTCGCAGTCGCACGGCTGGCAGCCGCCGGCCGACTCGCTGAGCCCCCAGTAGCCGGCCTGAATAACCGCATGGAGCACACACACGGGACACACACACACGGGGGGCACACACACACGGGACACACACACACACACGGGGCACACACACACACACGGGACACACACACACGGGGGGCACACACACGGGGGGCACACACACACGGGGGGCACACACACGGGACGCACACACACACGGGGGGCACACACACGGGACGCACACACACGGGGGGCACACACACGGGGCACACACACACGGGGGGCACACACACGGGACACACACACACGGGGCACACACACACGGGGGGGGCACACACACGGGGCACACACACACGGGGCACACACACACACACACACACGGGGGGCACACACACACACGGGGCACACACACACGGGACACACACACACGGGGGGCACACACACGGGGCACACACACACACACGGAGCACACACACACGGAGCACACACACACGGGGCGCACACACACACACACGGAGCACACACACACGGGGGGCACACACACACGGGGCGCACACACACACAGACGGGGCACACACACACATACACACGGGGCGCACACACACACGGGGGGCACACACACACGGGGGGCACACACACACACACGGGGCACACACACACGAGGGGCACACACACACACGGGGGGCACACACACACACACGGGTCACACACACACACGAGGGGCACACACACACACACACAGGGGGCACCACACCACACGGGCCACACACACACGGGGCGCATACACACACACACACGGGTCACACACACACACACGATGGGCACACACACACACAGGGGGCACACACACACACACGGGGCACACACCACACACGGGGGGCACACACACACGGGGCACACACACACACACACGGGGCACACACACACACACGGGGGCACACACACACACGGGCGCACACACGGGGTACACACACACACACACGGGGCAACACACACACACACACGGGGCACACACACACACACGGGGGGCACACACACACACGGGGCACACACACACGGGACACACACACACACACACGGCACACACACACACGCACGGGGGGCACACACACACACGGGGCACACACACGAGGGGCACACACACACACACAGGGGGCACACACACACACGGGGCGCACACACACACGGGGCGCATACACACACACACACGGGCACACACACACACACGAGGGGCACACACACACACAGGGGGCACACACACACGGAGCACACACACACGGGGGGCACACACACACGGGGCACACACACACACACACGGGGCACACACACACACACGGGGGGCACACACACACACGGGGCGCACACACACGGGGGACACACACACACACACGGGGCACACACACACACACGGGGGGCACACACACACGGGGCACACACACACACACACGGGGCACACACACACACACGGGGGGCACACACACACGGGGCACACACACACGGGGGACACACACACACACGGGGGGCACACACACACGGCGCACACACACACGGCGCACACACACACGGGGCACACACACACGGGGCGCACACACACGGGGGGCACACACACGGATCACGGCACGGCCCAAACCGCCAGGGGGCAGTAGAACAACTCGAAGTCGGCGCCGGGAGTGTGAGAGTTGGCAGGGACTCACCCATACCTCACCGCTACCCTCATCTCGCTCCGCTCACCTCCACGCGCCATCTACTCCAACAGCCAAGGCCTCCTTGAACCCCCTCCTCCGATTCCCATAATCTGGAGTCCAGCGCTCAAGATTATAATTTTTTCATTGCCCCTGTCATCTATGACTGACCACCTCTATAAAATAAACGAGCCCGCCGCTCTTTTTCTTTTTTTTGCGCAGCGTCTTGAGATGAGATCTCATTTGGAGGTCGCTGTATAAATCCACCGCTAGCAGGCAGCGTGGGCTTGTCATCGTTTTTTTTATACGGCCTTCGACCAAATCCAGACGCCAACCCTCCCTCATTTGCAACTGGGCTTCGGGCCGAGCTTTGTAAACCCGAAGTTAAGCGATGACGAAGAAAGGAAGAGAGGACAGGTCGGCTGGGGTTAGGGGTTCATGATGGTGCTCGCCTCGGACCAGCTGAAAGTCGACTCAGATGGCCCGGGTCACTGGGTGGACCGGGTGGGTAAGGCGAGAGAGGACACCCAGGGCGGAGACCGAGTCGGCTTAGAAAGAGGTGGCCCCAAGCAGTGAAGCAGAATACGAAGGAATGTGGAGTGGACATGGAGACGATGGCCCAGGACGGGAATGACGTCGCGCGACCGGGAGGCAGAAAATATCTTTCGAGAAGATGATGAATCCGAATTGCGTCCCATCGTCCGTACCAGGCACCGCTCGCAGTTCCTGCCGCCCACGTAGTCCTTGCAGATGCAGGCGCCCGTGACGGGATCGCACTTGCCCATGTTCATGACGGTCCCCATCACGTTGCACCTGCACGCTGATCGCCGGAGACAACACGCGCACGGCCGTGCCAGCCACGAGGGTGTCATGATGCGTGGTGGCGGACTGTGGCCCGCGTTCCGGACTGTGGCCCGGACGGGGCACGTGTTCCGAACGTGGCACATGTTCCGGATGGGACCTGTGTTCTGGACGGTGTCCCGTGTGTGCCATATAGGTTCGCTGCGATATAATACCGGTAGTTACTGTTATTACGATGCTTCTTTACCCAGGAAATCCTCACGTTCAGTCTCATGACTCTCTTTCAGGAGTGGCCTGTCAATTCTTCACAGCAGGGGGCGATGATTGCTAAGTGTAATCACAGCAGAGTAATTTGCAGTGTCATCTTTCAAATTTGGAGCACGGAAAGCCGTCACGGAAAATGTAACGTACACTGTGAAAGCAGACGCGCGTAGTATTTTTTACAGTCAATACACTCGGAAGGAAGTAACCTGGGTGGCCACTGATTGCAAACAGTGAACCTCTGCAACAAGTGGAGAATGTGCTACCGCTGGATCACATCACCAAAATAATTGTTGAAGATACAAAAACGATATTAACTTACACGAGTCTACAGCACTGTGTGTTTGTTATCTGATACGCTTAGCTGAAAGTATGAATAACGATCGCTTACAAAGTCCTTCAACTGCGATCCACTCCTTAAACCTGCCGCATGTCTTCTCATTGTTAAAACTCTACAATCGGTACAACTCTTACAGGTAGGTTATGATGTCATTTAAACCGGCATGCCATCAATTTATCGAGACCGCACTTTATAAAACACGGGTAACATATATATTTTAAATTGTAATTATTATCGTGAACTATTTTGAAATATTTACATCACGTAAATATTCTGTCAAGAATTTATTATGAAGAATTTAAATATTTTAAAATGGTAAAATGTACAACTATAAGCACGACATGGCGATATTTTAACTAAACGGACGTTACAATTTATCCCGGATCCTATACCGTACGATGTATCGCAGTCTCGTGGCGAGGCCTACCAATTACACACACACTCTGCTATTGTCAAGAGCAAGTTTCTCAAATTCCAGCCCTCCCACACAGGCGCATCGTCCGTGGCGAGGGGGACATGGTGAGGAGGAGCGGAGACTCACGCTGGCAGCCGTTGGGGTTGTCGCGGGAGGGCGTGCCGGCAAACCCGGGCAAACACTCGTCGCATCGCACCCCTCCAACGCCCGGCTTGCAGCGGCACTGCCCCGCCACGGTGCCCGTACGGGGGTCGGAGGTTGCGTCGCAAGCACCGCCCTCCTGCGAGCCGGCCGGGTCACAGTCGCACGCTGGGGTACGGGGAGGGGTGGGGGAACGGAGGCAGATGGGGGAGAAGGGAGAGGAGAGACAGATGGGGAGAGGGGAGAAACGTGGGGAGAAGAGAGAGATGGGGAAGAGAGGAGAGAGCGAGAGATGGTGAGATGGGAGAGAGATGGGAGGAGAAAAGAGAGGGGAGAGAGTCAGAAGACAGGCTGGGGAGGAGGTGAGATGGGGGGGAGAGGTGAGAGAGACGGTGACATGGGAAGAGTGGGCGGGGAGGGGCAGCAGCAGGAGTCATGGACAATGTTCAGAGTTCAGTGTTGAACTCGACATTAAATTGATGGCAAGGGCTGATCACAGCATGAACCCTGAGGATACGTCCCCTTGCTGTGACCGCGTCGATGTTACAATAGTCGGAATCATCAATGAGGCCATGCGCATCAGAGATTATTTGTCTACGTGCGTACGTATGTCTGCATGAGCACATCCGCGTTCGTTGCGTGCGTGTACGTGCATTTGCACGTATGTATGCGTGCGTGCGTCTGCGTGCGTCTGCGTGCGTCTGCGTGCGAACGCGAGGACGCGCGACGTACGGACGCAGGAGTCGGGGGCGCGTGCGTCCCTCCGCGCGTGGCGGTAGTGGAAGGGCGCGCACGTCTCGCACTGCCGCCCCGCCGTGTTGTCGCGGCAACCGTCGCACACCCCGCCGCTCACGTTGCCGCTGGCGACGTAGGCGGCGAGGTCGAAGTGGCAGCGCGTGGCGTGGCCGTTACACTCGCAGCCTGGGCACAGGGCAACATCGTCACGACCCAGGGATAACCTCGTTGTATCACCAGCAACCTCATCAATAACCTCGTCACATACCGATAAAAATCGTAATATTGGCAGCAACCTGATCAATAACCTCGCCATTACTCTGAACCTCGTCATATCGCCAGCAATCCTCATGAATCTCGTTAGAATTGCCGGCAACCTCATCATCGCAGGCAACTCCATCGTGAGCGAAGGGTTGATGGCAAAACTTGCGCCAGCAACCCCGCCATCACTGGTTCATGGCCACCACCAGCAGCACCACCACCACTAAGCGTTATTAACGACAGTGTCACCGCCACGCGAATGTGTGTTTGTACAATGCTGCTTTTTGAATGCAAACGTGTGCATGAGTGTGTGTGCGTATGCATGCACGTGTGCGTGTTTGTCTTTGTGTGTGCGTGCCAAATGCAGCACCTGCCGTTACCAAAACAGGTCTGTCCTGTGACCTCCTGCCAGCAGCGAGTCTTCCACACTACACGTGGCCTCAAAGTTCACCCAGCCTGGTACAAGTGCTTTAGCGATGCCGCTGCCACTTCGTGGCAAATGGCAGCTGTTGTTGTTGTGTATGGGCGCTGTAGTGTGGTGGTGGGTGTTGGTGAACGGTGGTACAAACCTGGCGACACGAGTCCAATTCTTAACCAAGGCCAACATCGCTGGCGTATATCTGTACCGGTCGTGCACCTCCCCTAGGTGGACTCAGCCTTAAATGAGTACTTGGTGCAGTGTACAAACACGAGCATTGGGGAGACAAAGGCGGCCCTGGGGCAGGTGCTCGCCACACCCCCACACCCACCCTCTTTACGTGTCGTGCAGGCATCAGTAGGTGCTCATTGACAGCACTTTCCCTCGCCGGTCTATGCGGGCAGGCTACGCTGGGGATCTTTGCCTTGGTGCGTGAGCGTGTGCGTGCGTACGTTTGCGCGCGTGCGCCGCTCATGCGTGTGTGCGTTTGGACGCGTGTGTGCGTACATTTACGCACGTGTGTGAGCCTCCCCTGCGTGCGTGCGCACATACGTTTACACGCGTGCGTGCGTCGCCCCTGCGCCGGCCTCCAGGGATGGTCCTGGTAGAAGTCGTCGCACTCGTCGCAGTTGAGTCCCACCGTGTTGTGCTTGCACAGACAGCGCCCGTGCACCTGCAGCACAACCATCATCATCATGATAACTGCTGTGAGCAGCAGGTGGGGCTCACACGACAACCCGAACTGTGGTGCGAGACGGACGATGGCGCCGCGCATCGTCGAAGAGCGAGTCCGCTAACCAAAGCTTCGCGGCAGCTGGATCGGTGTCAACGGTACGCGCTAAATGAAATAAAATCATCATGATCGTCGTCGTCATCGTCATCACCACTTCTCATCGTTGTTCATCATCAATCGTGGCATAAGAGCATTGAAATCATTCGCCCTGTAATTCTGTCACGTGCCCTCTTGCGGACACTAAAGGGTGCTAACACGAGCCAGAATGCTTAAATGGACAAGGTAAGAATATCATGCATACGCATGGATTACGTGATACCTTCCCACACACGTTTGCATTCAGCACTAATTATTTAGCGGTACAGAAACCGTTAGTTTAATACATCTACTTTCACGACCGGGTATAATGTCACGTAACCCTCCATCACCTGACAGAACCAATCAAATCAAGTTGTCATGCGGGCAACATTTTTGCCAAATTGTCAGCTGTTCAATGATCCGTTTTTTGCAGAATAACCCAATCGATTGATATATAAAACTATTTTACCAGGTAAGGTCCACTGAGCTATATAGCTCTTGTTGAGAAGCAACCTCGCCACAAATGATAGCTCAACGAAATGGCTCATCGTGTAGAAATGTATAGCAGCTAATTACTCTAAATGTGTGTCGAGGACTCGGAGAAAAATCCACGCGACCACAGAGAGAACATGAATATACAAGCGTCAGGGTTGGGATTGAACCCACGACCTCCTGTATACCAGACGAGGTAGTTAACATCTCACCACCATGGCGCCCACGGTGAACATATTTGCTAAGGAGATGGCGCAATAAAGCAATCAATTCCATGTTCAGGGACAAGCAGGTGGATTTGTCACATTGCAAAATCATGATCGATGGCGACTGCGGCCTGCTGAGGTCTTCATCCCGGCAGTGAATTAACCACGACTGACCACGACGATGACGACGATGATGATGATCACCATGACGATGACGACAACGACGACAACGATAACAACAACGATGATGACGATGACGATGATCACCATGATGATGAGGACGACAATGATAACAACGATGATGACCACAACGATGATCACCATGACGATGACGACAACGATGATAACAACAATGATGATGACCACGACAATGACGAAAGCTCCGCCCCAGGGTCAGCCGCGGTTCTCGAACCGCGAGCCTCTGCAACGTGCGACAAAAAAACGCGCTTCCCGCCCGGCCGTTAAGCCGCCGTGTCGCCGTGTCGCCACACCGCGGCCGCTCGCTCACCATGCCCTCGGTGGAAGCGCCGGCGTCGCCCCTCCCGGTGGGGACGCACGACTCGGCGTGGCCGTTGCAGGAGCAGCTGCCCCGCACCACCATGTCGTACACGCTGTAGTAGTACTTGCGGCGCGCGTCGGGGCTGAAGTCCAGGCGCTCATCCCCGAGGGTGTGCAGCGCCGTGAAGTTCACGCGCAGGTTCGTCACGCGCAGCAGGTCTGCTCGCCGGGTCGCGCGGGCGAGACAGTGGGATCACAGCGGGGGGGGGGGGGGGGGGGGAGGATGCGGAGGGACGTGAGGGTACGTGGGTAGACGTGGGTAGGGTACGAGAAGGGTGCCGGGCTACGAGAGGGACGAGCAGAGGACGCCATGGGGGGGGGGGAGGGAGGGGACATTGGGACACGCGGCGCGGAAAGCACGACGGGGGACGCGGGAGGACAGGTGAGGTAACTGGTGTCACGTGAGGATATGAAAGGTCAGAATCAAGTCTTTATTTGTCATGGTGAAATCCGATGAGCTGTGAGGCTCTTTTTCACAGACGAACACGAGGAGGGGATGAGGAGTGGATGAAGAGGGGGAGGGGGGATGAGGATACAAAGGGAGACGTGGTGACGCAAGGGGAGGAATCGAAAATTTGGGACACGAGGAGATGAACGTGGGACACACGAGGGGACGTGGGCAGTGCGAGGGGGGGCGGACGGGGGAGTATAGGACAACGGAGTGAAATGGACAAAGCGGTACGAGACAATGGTGAATGAGAAAACACAGCAAGAGCAGCTGCACAAACAATGACAGCTCATTACTCATCGTGAACAAATGTAATTATCATCTGCATGGCGCTGCCCCGGTGGCCGTGAGGGGTCACCTTGGATCTCAGGGCTGTAGGGGTCAGGAACAGGGATGGACGGATCAAGCACCTTGAAGATGACCTGCAGAGAGGGATAAGCAAAGGGAGATACAAAGATCCTACGATTGCTCACGCAGACTTTTCGGGCATGTGCTGTTGAGGAGTAGCACCTACGAAGGCTGGCAAGGCACACACGAGGGTCGTGTTGGTCAGCACCACGCCCGACCGCCTTTGTCTCCCCAGTGCTGAGGTTTACACACCGCACCAGGTACTCATTCAGGACTGGACCAACCAGTGCAGACGTCACTCGCCACCGCCGTCAGCCGTGACCGAGATTCGAACCCGGGTAGCCAGGGTTCTCAGCCCTGTGCGCTAACCAAAAGGGGGATGCACACGAGCGCACACACACCCACACGCATCGGATTACGCAGTTTCGAGCGTTTTGGGTTTCGTCAGCATCGGCGACGCGGGCCGAGCCTCCGGGACGAGCGGCGAGCGGCGCACCTCCCCGCCCGTGCTGGGCTCGATGTCGGAGTAGCGGGAGTCGCACACGACGTCGCCGGCACGCTGCAAGGGCCCCTCTCGCACGCCGGGGAAGGCAGAGCGGCAGTCCTGCGCGAAGTAGCGGTACGGCCGCCACGTTCGCCCGAAGTTGGACGAACGCTCCACCAGCATGGCCGCTGGGCGGAATGTCTGGGCGGTGGAGGGACGGTGGGGTCGGGGGAGGGCGGGGGAGGGAGAGCAGAGGGTGGGGATGCAAGGGTCACAAGGTCGGTTGGAGGGTTCACACGGCGGCAGGTGCTCCGCACGGCGGCAGGTGCACTGGGCTCCTCTCCTTTCCCCCCCCGACCCCCACCCCTCCCCCTCCCCAACCCCTGCCAACGACCCCCATCGTGGAATCAGGGAGAGCGGCCGTGCTTTGCACGGGGAGGAAACAGCGTTCCGAAGTTTGGGGACAGGAGAAGAGAATGAGCGACCGCCTGGCGAGCAAATGCCGACTGGTTGCATCGACGGACAGCCTTGGCTGCTGGAGCGGGGAGATGTGCGGAGAGAACAGGGGTGCGGCCACACTGCGGATGTAGCGGCTGTCTTGACTCGCAAACGCTCCCCGGTGGTTATCAGGTACATTACAGGAGACCTGCGAAGTCCCCCCCCCCACCCCAACACTTCTTCTTCACGGATAAGAGGAGCCCGACTGGACTGCAACCACGTTAAACCCGTGCACCTACTGGCTACCGACTCGGCACCGAGTCTACCCCGTGTGCGAGAGCGCCACCGAGTATTTAGGTTCCGTCGTGGGCGCAACCGACGACCGTGCCGCCGCCTTTGCTGCGGCGAGAGAAGAAGAAGAAAAAACGTGGACTCGAAAATGAACGAGGATTTTTCGGCGAAGATTTTGCCGACGCCTCTTCGCCACCCGCAGGTTAAACAAACGTAAGCGGGGTTGTTCAGACACAAACGGCAGCTACTGCGGCTGCCGGCCCTGATAGGGCACACGCCTGCCTCACCGAAGGGGCGCGTGGATTTTCAGGTTTCGCCAAATCGAGAGACGGCGGCGGTGGCTGGCGGGGGGGGGGGGTGGTGCCGCGTCCGCTCGCAGAAGCGATGGATCAGGACGGGGCATGCGAATGGTGGTGACTGCGCCTGAAGCGCGCGGGAAGCCGTGTTAAAGGTCGGGGCCGGAGGTCAAACCGCAGAGCGAGTTGGTACGTCGCCCCGGCTGATCGCGCGACGGTTATGCGTTGCGAACGCGAGCCCCTGGCCGGGACCAGATAAGTCACTGCCTGCCGGGAGCCTCGTCGCAAGGCTTGCGCCCTCTCTAAACGCGTCAAGTTTTATTGTTAAAGGAATAAGAATATTCGCCCCCAATGCACCCAGTCTGGGCGAATCTCGAAAACCAACCAGGAGTTAAGCCCGTTGAGTATTGATTTGGATAAGACGTAGGCTTGATAAGGTCTCGTAGGCTTAGCCTGTGAGGTGGCCAGGTGATGGCAGCACAGCAATGCATTCTCAAAGCTATCTGAGTTACTCCCTCTTGGAACGATTTAAAAAAAAACATTTAATGTAATTGTGAATACAAATCGTGACGTATCATTGCATCACACGGAGCAGTGAATAGTCACATGCCTATTGCCTAACAACAACAATTATGCAATCGTTGCTTGGTGCTTCATACATGTTGTATATAGTGGGCAAACGCATGACCTATGCAGCCATGGCTGGCTGCTATATTCACCTCAATGTTGAACAAATGGCTGTGACCAGGAATCGAACTCGGGTCGCCGGGTTCGTAGCGCAGCGCGCTAACCTTCTACACGACTGCTCCCCGCACACACGCATACACACACACACATATGCGCGCACGCGCGCTCGCACCTTGAACGTGAAAATGAGGTGCGTGAAGTGGAACTCCGCCTCGAGGTCCAACCGCAAGCTCACCCTCTCCAGGCCTGCGGGAGTCCCAGAGACAAACGGACGTCGGCATGGCAAAGGGGGCGGCCGGGGGGGGGGGGGGGGCTCGTCACGGTTACCGAGCCGACGTTTTCGCTCGCGTCGCCGGCACGCGCCCGCGATGCCCCCGCAACGCGCGCGCGCGTACCGTGCGTCCGCTCGCACGCAAATGTGCGTGCGTGCGTTTGTCAACAAAGGCGCTCGCTGTGGCGGGTTCTTTTTTTATTTGGCAAAAAAAAAAACCTGGCAAGGCATCATACGTGGGGCGCTTTAATGGACAGGAATGTTATCAAATCTTCTTCTTAGAAAATATTTCCGAAAAGTCAAATGAAAACAGGGAGTGGGATAAGGGCGTGCATGGACATGCGCGTGCATACACACACACGCACGCGTGCGCACGCAAGACAGTCGCACTCACACTCCATACCTGCACACAAGCACGCCTACACAAAGACAAAGATCCCCCCGTACAGCCTCTAACAGACTGTCGAGTCAAACGCACTCGTGCCGTGCGGGCGCTGACGTGGCCCTAGCGGTAGCGAGATCGCCGCTTGGTGCGGACGTTCGTAGTTTGAATCCATTGGCCGCCCCGATTATTACCACGGTTATGTAACAATCATAATAATATTACGCGCCATCCGCTTTGCTCACAGTGGATGTTAAAGATCCCTTGAAGTTCATTCGCAAGAGTTGCCCATTGTGTGTAGGTGTCAGGTTCCAAATTTGCCAAACTATAAAATTGTACAACCATCAGGCAGACCAATGCCAGAGAATACACAGCAAATCTTGGTCTCTTGAGTTCTCACCTGGTTAAACAAAATGAATTTGAAACTTGAACGTGCACACACATGCACAAAGACAAAGACCCCCCCATATAGCCTTTTAGCAGACTGTTTGGGCAAGTGCCGTTAGCGAGTAGCACCGATGAAGGCTGGCACGGCACACGAGCGGGTGAGGGCGACCAACACACAACACCCGGCCGCCTTTGTCTCCCGAATGTCGATGTTCACACACCTCATCAGGCACTCACTGAAGGCCGACTCAACTGCTTCAGATATGTGTGTCAATGCTACTAATCATGAGCACGGTGCGCGGGCAATTACACCAGGATCCGCAGAACACATGCACATACACGCACGGGGCACGTGTGCACGCAAAAGACACGTCTCTCAAAAGGGCAGAGAATACACGATCGCGTGCACATAGACAAGCACAAAGACAAAGATCCCCCGTGTAGCCTTACAGACTGTTGGGGCAAGTGCTGTTAGCGAGCACCTATGAAGGCCGGAACGGTACACGAGGGAGTGGGTGGTCAGCACCACGCCCGACCGCCTTTGTCTCCCCAGTGGCGATATTTACACATCGCACCAGGTACTCATTTGAGGCTGAGTCGACCTAGGGGAAGCCCAGGACCGGTTCAAATAATCGTCACTGGTGTTGGCCATGAACGAACTTGGGTCTCCGGTTTCACAGCGCTGTGCGCTAACCACTACACTACCGCTCCCCATAATTAACAAGCACATACACACGCGAGCACACACACGCAGGTACCGTTCTCCGACTGCCACCACGCGCTCTTGCGCGCGGGGTCGAAGTTCATGACGACGTTTTGGACGCGGTGGCTGTTGGGGCCCTGGCGCTGCCGCGAGTCGCACACGAAGCACTTGTCGTCCTCCTGCACACACAGACGGAGATCACGCCCGCCCCGCCGATTAGCCTCCAACACCCGCAGTAGGTGACCGTTCACCAACATCGCCGCCATCAGCAGGAGCGTTATGCAACTGCTGGACGAAGTCTCTCCCCGCGACGGTGCCCACCCTCACACCTGCACGCCGACCGATTTAGTTGTTACATTTCCGCGATGCCCACCCTCACACCTGCACGCCGACCGATTTAGTTGTTACATTTCCACGGTGGTCCTACTCCCAGCTGTGTCTTTCCCTCCTTTGACTGCCGCTCCGTCATTAGTCTCGACTATCGGCCATCGCCCCTCGGAGCATCCCTCGTCATCGCTCCAAGTCACACAAGCCCCTTCTGGACCGTTGCGCTTAACCTTAAACAATGATGAAGCCTGAACAGCTGAATGGAGTTCAAAAGAACTCACAAACAAACACCTAGTTGTGAAAGACCCAACGCAGAAGATCCCTGGGTTTGATTTTCCCCGAAGCTCATGGTCCACCCTAAACCACATCTGCACAAACCATGGCAGATGCGGATACCCGTTTCACAAATGGAAAATTTGAAACTCTCCAGGAGTGTGCGACTGCGGTCATCCAGAACAGACCGTACAACGTGTAACGACGCAATGCCCGATCCACAAATATGAAGGTGGACATCACGGCGGTACACTCCTCTGCTCCTGACGCGGCTATCTGGCTTGACCACCTGAATATGAAATTCTAGTTATTGCTCTGCATCTACATTATCAGCCGTACGAAAGAATAATTGACCCCTTATAGCGACACATCCTGCCTAAGCCCACTGACTTTTATTATGCCCACAAGATGTCAATAACTTGCTCGCATTCTCTCATCCGTTTGTTCCTCTTTCTGTCCCCGAGGCTAGCTAGCATGGCCAACGACGTGGTGATGTGTCCACCCCACACCTGACCACCTTTGTCTCCCCACTGTACACAACCACCACGTCAGGTACTCGTCTCAGTCGACCTAGGAGAGGCTGTGAACAGTTTTGAATGCCACTTGGCTCGGAATTGAACCCAGGCCACGATGTTCATAGGGCACTGTGTGGACAACAGCACTTCTGCTCCCCCATACCACACACAAAGACAAAGATTCCCCATATAGCCATACAGACTGTTGGGGCAAGTGTCGTTCGTAGGCAACTATGAAGGCCGGCACGGTGCAGAGGGGGTGGTGTGGCAAGGCCATGCCCACTGCCGTTGTCACCTCGGTGGCTATCTTTCAACACCGCACCAGGTACTCATTTGAGGCTGTGTCAACCTAGGGGAGGCCCAGAACCGCTTCAGATATCCGTCACCGACGTCGGTCGTGAGCGGAAATCGAACTCGGGCCAGCGGGTTCGAGGCGCAGCGCGCCAACCACTACACCACCGCTCCTCTCCGCACGGCCGGACACACAAACTGCTCAAATTACCCACAAGCACCCACCCCCACATCGACACGCCAACACCAGAGACACCCAGACGCACGGCTACTGCATGTGGAATAAACAGACCAAGACCCCCCCCCCACCGCCCGCCACCTATTTGTGCAGACTGTAGGAACAAGTGCAGTTAGCGAGCAACAGCTAATTACAACGGCACATGGCACGCGGGGTGATGTTGCGGCCAGCCACAAACACCCCCAAGCTTCCTTGGGTGCACAGCGTTGATGCCGACCACAGCACCACATCAGATACAAAGACGCAAATACTCTCACACAGAAACACCAAAGATCCCCCGTATAGCCTTTAACAGACTCTTGGGACAAGTGCTATGAAGTCCAGCACGGTGTACGAAGGGGTGGATGGCCAGCACCACTCCCGGCCGTGTTTGTTTCCCCCGTGCTGATGTTTTACACATTGCATTCGTTTAGTGGAGGCCCAGAACCGGTTCAGAAAAAAGTCACTGGTGTTGCTAGCAGTGAGTGGGAATCGAACCCGGGAGTTGGGTTCATAGTGCAGCGCACTAACCGCTCTGCTACTGCTCCCCACTCACAAAGACAAAGATCCCCCGTATAGCCTTAACCGACTGTAGGGGCAAGTGCTGTTAGCGAGCACCTATAAAGGCCGGCACGGCACACGAGGGGGTGGGTGGACAACACCACTCCCGGCCGTCTTTGTCTCCCTCGTGGCGATGTTTACACATCGCACCAGGTACTCATTTGAGGCTGAGTCGACCTAGGGGATGTCCAAGACCGATTCAGATAATCGTCACCAGTGTTGGCCGTGAGCGGGAATCGAACCCGTGTCGCCGGGTTCATAGCGCAGCGCGCTAACCGCTGCACTACCGCTCCCCACGCACACACGCACTCTCTCAGACACTCTCACACACACTCTCTCACATACTCTCACACACACTCTCTCACACACACACACCCGTAAGGCCATGACCAAGCTCCGGCGACAGCGCCACTCGTGTTGTGCACAGCTAATAACTGAACGAGGATTGCATCACTCCCACAGACGACACCACGTGCACACCCACACAACATCCCCGCTTAGTCACGCAGACAGCGGAGGCAAGTGCGCACGTTAGTGAGCACCTATAAAAGCCACCATGATGGAGCAAGTGGTGGCGTAATCATGAGAGCAGCATCCTTTGTCTCTCCGGAGGCGATGTTTCACACGCCGCGTTGGGCACTCATTTCGAGGCCGAGTTGACCCAGGGGAGACCCGGAGCAGGTTCAGATGCCACTCGCCACTGGTGGTATCCATGGCTGGGAATCGAACACGGTTCACCCAGTTCACAGCATGGCGTGTAAACCGTTACACTACCGCGTTAAGAGACTTTTGGGGGCAAGTTCTGTTCGCAAGAACCTTTGATGTCTGACGCAACAAGCGAGGGGGTGGGTGGCCAGCACCACGCCCGGCCACCTTTGTGTGCCCAGTGGAGATGTTTACGCACGGTACCAGGTACTCATTTGAGGCCCAATCGACCCAGGGGGATGCCCAGGAACGGTTCAGATAATCGTCACCGACGTTGACCGTGAGCGGTAATCGAGCTCGGATGAGTGGGTTCGTGGCGCGCTGCGCCAATCACTGCGCCACCGCTCCCCCGCGACATGTCACAAACACACACGCGCGCGCGCACGGTTGTTGTCACGCCCGCGGCGTGCGCAAGGGGCGAACACGCGCGGCCGCACCCCTTGGCGTCCTCGGCACAACTCAAACCCGGCCCCTCCCGCGGAGCGATCGCCGTCTCCAACATCCGCGGGTCCAAGGGCCACGTGGCGGGCGGGGGAGGGAGCGGGTCGCGACAGGGGGAGCAGGGAGCAGGGTTCAAGCCGCCTCCGAGAGGTGGCTACGAAGGGGGCCGGGTATGGATTCAGCCCCGGGAAGGGTGCGTGAGCTGCAAGATCCTCGTCCTTGCGTTCACACCGCGTCGTCGGCCCTGCCTCTCCTCCCGCCCTCTGCAACGTTATCCACGCCTGATGTCCCAGCCCTCTCCCCGCACTCCTTCGGCTCCACAGACCCTGGCCCCCTTCTTGCTCCAAAGAGCCACTGCCCCACCGGTCGGTGGCCACGCTTGAATCCACCATGGCCCCATCCTCTGAAAATTCACCTGCGTGCCCTCCCTCCACCGCCTCCCTTTTCAAAACCTTCCTCTCAAAACTCCGAGCCTTCAAACCCCCTTAATTGCTTCTTTTCATCCCTTCCCTTGCTCGCTCGCCTCCCTCCCATGCCCGCCCGTTTCCTGCTGTGTATTTCTTGCACGCTGAGATGTTGTTTTCCACGTGTGCATTACAAATGTGTCCTGCCCGTTTGCTTTTGCTCTCGCCGTACTGGACGCAGTCGTGTATCGCCGCCGCTCAGCCAATCAGCTCAAGACTCTGAACGCAAAGCATCTTGCAAATTAAGGGGTGGCTTCGCTAGGCACGTCCCACGTGTGTGCTCGGTGTCAGTTACCGTGGTTAAGAATCAGGGCCACCGAGTCGGATCAAGCACGGCAACCACCGACATTACGGACACGTGGCCCGGGGGTCAATGTGATGGAAGCAGTAGTGGAAGGTGCTCGGGGGGGGGGGGAGGGAGACCGCGATTGGACTCGACGCCACTTGTCAAACTCTGGGCCGCAGCGACAGACAGAGAAGCGCAGAGAGACCCGGCGAGGAGACAACGGACGATAGAAAAACTCGTGCCCTGTCCGACGCGAATCGATTGGCATATTTGCCCACGTGAGAACTTGATTTGAATGGCTCTATCGGGTGGTGGAGGGTTAGAGTTACAATTTGCGTGATACCTACACTATGATCTAACCTAAAATAAACTAATTATGAATCCAAATAATGGTCGTGAGAGCACCGCCTATTTGTCTCCACAATACTGATGTTTATCCACTGCACCCAGTACTCATCTGAGGCCAAGTCGACCTCGGGGAGGCTCACGACTGCTTGAGATAATCATTACTGGTGTTGGTGGCCGTGAGCGGGAATCGAACTCGGTCCGCAAAATGAGAAGCGCGGCGCACTAACCGCTACACTACCGCTCCCCATAGATGCACACACACACACGGAGAACACACACGTACGCGCACACGCACAGACACGCACGCAAGCCGACGGATTGATCGGCGGGTGTGCAGAGTGGAACGAGCGATGCGGCCGCGGGCAAATTCCTGCAGTGAAAGTGCGCAAGGCGTGCAGAGGTGTGCACGCACACACACGAGGGAGCCATGGGTGAACTGGAGCTCACCAGACGCTCCTCTCCCCTCCCCCACCCGTGCATTCCTCCTGCTCCTGCTACCTGTCGGGCCAGGGCAGGCGGAGAGACTCCCTTGCCACTGCTATGTGCACCTAGGGCGCCCTCGCCGTGCTCAGGGTATCGGTCTCATCTTGACGCACGCGCTATTATGTGACGGGTTCTTTTTTTTTTCACACGCCTTTCCAAATGAACGTCGAACGCGTTCGTGCATTATAGCACTGCAACGTCCGTCCATAACGAGGTGGGGGGGGGGGGGGTAGGCGAGGGGGGTGGAGGGTGCAGAATAATTATCGTAAACTTGATCCAAGATGAACGCACGTTTGCGGTATAAAGTTGCGTTTTTATCCATCGGTGATTTAGCGAAATGAAAACCGTCTGCGTCCATCCAAAGGTTTCCCACACCTTGGGTCACGTGTACCTGCTTGCTTCTGTACCTGCGCGGCTATGAGGCTACGTGGCTACGTGGCTACGTTTGCTACGTACGCCCAGGGCACCTGTGGCAATGTGGGGCCCTTGGGTATTCCTCTAATCTTGACTTATCCACTGTGATGTTTAACGATTTAAAAATTGGTTTAAAAAGACTGGTTGCATTAACTCTGCCCGTAAGGGCCTGGGGTGGGGTTAGGGCCCACTATCACCCCATGTTGTGTTGCTAATAGGGACTTACCCGAGATAAAACTGGACACGCTGATCAAAGGGTTTCCTAAAACTTGGAGACTCAAACCAAAGCAAAAAAGGAATTATGGCAAATATGACAAATATGTTTCGCCCCAAAATCTCTCCATCAGCTCCTGTACCGCTGATTAAAACGCTGAACAAACTCACGGTGGAAAGAGTTACATAGTCCAGACATGTGCGCACGACTTTTTCCCTACCTTCGCATCGATTCAAAAGAACTGAAATATGGGAAGCTCGGTTGGCATGGGGGGACAACCGCCAAAGTCTCCTCCTCCCGCCCTCCCTCCCCTCCCAGCACCCACGGTGCGGCCAGCACCACGCCCGGCCACCCCAACCATTAAATAGGTGCTCGCTGACAGTAGCAGGTGCTCGCTAACGGTAATCTTTGTCTCACCGTTCTGGTAGGAATGCGGGCACGAGTTTGCTTACGCGTTTTTATTCTAACGAGTGTTTGTTTTAGCAGGAACCGTCCCGCCGCTGTTTCAGTGATGCGTCTTTGGCTTCGTGCTAGCTTTAAAAAAAAAAGACCTCAACATACAGAAGCGTTAAGAAATCCGGCTTCAAGGTGAACACGCTGTTTACACAGAACACACTCAGATGTTCTAAAGACACTCTGGGTCAAAGATTAACACGCTAAGAGAGAATATATTGCCACGACAAAAAACAAGCCCAGAAAAATTCTTCCAAGAATGTGTTTAAATATTAACGCTGTCATCCCGGCATGTGTGCCGCTCACTGGAAGCCCAAACCACGATCGCAAGCCGGTGATCCCCCCCCCCACACAACCCCAAAAGCTACCCTCTTGTGCTCCCTGAGGTTGAGTCCCGGGGCAGGGCAGGGCGGTCCAAGAGGGGAGAGGGCCTGGGTTTTGTCCCTGTGCTGGGTGCTCGGAAGTATGCAGCGGTTAAGCAGGCTTGAGCCTAAAAAGTACTTGGGTGGATGATCGCGGCGCGTAACGGGTGTTATAGGCTGCTGCGAGGCTACGTTATCAGCAGAGGGCAGAGTGGTAAAATCCATTCCATTGTCAATGCTCCCCCCGCCTTCCCCTAGCCGCACTGACCGGCATGGTGAAGTATGGTCGAGGAGCCCCCTGCACACCACACGGCGTGGGGAGGTCCTCACGCAGCAGTGGGTCAACATAGGGGTTGTACGTGTATGTACGTTTGTATGTATGGGTTGCGTGGGCCATGTTGGGCAAGAGAAATGGGACCGTGTTGTGAAGTGCGTGGGGATGATGGCCGCGGCTCTACTCCAGCGAAAGAACCTTGCCGAGGTCGCCGGGTTCCTCAGGGGTCAGAGCACCGAGCCTGGGTTCAAATCTGGGTTTCAGCCGCCCGTGATTAAACCGGGTTCGCAAGTGCAGTGAATCGATGGTCTCGACCCCGGTCACCGGTGACTGCACAAACAAAAAAATCCCACAAAAAATCACACCATTGGTTCAACCCTTTCCAGCTGCGATGACGTACGTGTACATCATGAAAATGAAACAGGAATAAAAAAAAGTTTACTTATCGGTACCGAGGCTCCCACAAGGCCATGTGGGCAGGGTGTATGGCATGTACGTATGTATGTTGAACTTCTTTCGCACAGTACGTAGCCAACCGCGCTAATCAAGGTGGGGGCACAGTTTGGTGCTACGGTTCTCTGTGGTGAGTACAATGTCTTTAAAAACAACGGCGATATGCCTCTCTAAATAAAAAAAAACGCCGAACCCGCTTGCGCGTTCCGAGATTCAGCGATGAACGGGATCCCACCCTGCAACTTGCAGACGTCTCGGAATGGGGAAGGGCTTTAGTTTAACTTCAGCTCTGAGAATTTAAAATATTAGTTTGAACGTCAAGCGATTAACCAGTTACTGTCGTATGGCAGTGCGGGTGCGAAAGTGCGGCCCTCCAATGTGTGGACCAGAGGTCACTGAGAGGCAAATCTGCTTTCACGGAGCGTCCTCCAACACCAAGGGCTACGCAGCCCCGCTCGACTTCCCCGTGGATTCTCCACCTTGCGGTGAAGTAACCATGACGCCAAGAGCACGATCACGCATACGCCTGGATTCTTTAACGCTTCCCAGCGTGCGCTTGTCCTCGGAAGCCTTGAATTAGTGATGATAATGGTGGCACTTGCGCAAAGTTAGGAGGAAGCGCCAAGTCAGTTGGCGTTGATTTGTGCCTCAAAGATTTGAGTCATTTTGATCAATGTGGCTTGCTTCCTACAGGCCGATTCCATACCGTGACTGCACCAACATAGAAACGTTCCCATTGGTTCATCCTTACAAGAGTGACTGTGACCCCCACTTTTCAGACCAATGGACGGACAGAAAAATACTTTCAACCTTCGGTGGCGATCGGAGACCAAAGCCATCACAGCTCCCCCAATCACCGAGCGACCCACAAACCCCTCTCCGCGAGAGGCAGGCACCAATCCCCACACCCGCTCCCACTCCCCACGCCCCCACCACCTCAATTCATCCGTGCGAGCAGCAAAGCGAGCACGCGGAACCCTTACTAATGAGCTCCATGCAGCTCAATGGAGCTGCCCGGCATAATGAAGAGAGCACGGTGACAAAGGGAACAATGGGAAGAAAGAAGGGCGGGGAAAAAAATTGAAACATGGAGCAATTTACTGCATTAGCTCGGCTCGCCGTGGCGGCAGTGAAGCGACGCAGGGCAGCCGGGGGTGCCTGGGGGTGGACGAGTTTTCTCGTGTTCGCAACCTCGCACCGACAGCTGTCTCCAGGAGCTCGGCTCAGTCGCGTCTGACTAACCTACAGGCCGAGCTCTCATACGACGATCGCTAACGGCGTCGACGTCAGCGTCGACGTCATGAACGGCCGTCTACTTTGTGGGAAGTCGGCAGTGGCCGTCGTATGTAGAGATACAAGCCCCCGCCTCGAGTTCCATCAACGGGCTCAGCATGGAGACACTCTGACACATCGTCGTCCATGATCTATCCGCTACTGCAAAAGGACTCCGCAGTCCGCTGCCATTGTTCACCGTCGCGAGATGATTTCGACGCTCGGTCTCCATCGTGGATTATCTCTCTGGCGAGTTCCCTCCTTGGGCTGCCACCGCGTCCTTCGTCTCGCTCGAACACCATCCACATCCCCTCCATGCCATGCGTCCCGGCCCGAGCCCACCTACTTTGTTTTGATGGTCACAATGGAGTCTCTAGCTTGCGTATATTCTCTAACACACGTGTTCGTCTCCCTGTCTCTCAGAGGATGAATGGGTTGAGTCAAGCCTCAACGAGGATTTGAACTTTGTGACCTTCCTGGTTGTTAGTTGCTCGCTCTACCGCTGAGCCACCTGGCCGGTTTATGTGCTATGAGATAGCCCTCTTAATCCCCCCCTCCCCCATGCAATATCAAAGCGGCCAAGTGGCTTTTCACACAACTTGCTCTGCCATTGCTTGAGGGTAGCTGGGCATGCGGGATCGTTGTGCGAGTGCGACGGTGCGGGTGCTGTGATGCGAGCGCGGTTGTGCGACGCGGGCCCTGACCATGAGGTGGCTGATGATGCAGTACTGCTGTGGCGCAGTCATGCCGCACGTGGACGTGGCGGAGAGGCGGTCCTCGCGGCCCAGGAGAAGGTCTCCCGTCGCCGGGTGGCAGCTGCCCTCCGTGCAGCTCGTGGGCAGGTCTGGTTGCTGCCCCCGCGCCAGGCTACACATGCCTGCCCCTACGTGCATACGAACACATGTATTCATTGAAAATAGGAGATAGCATTACGATTGCCGCGATAGAAATTATCATGGTAGGATGGTGCGATGTCATTTTGCACAATACAATGACGCGACAGAATCTTTCGTCGTGCGATATAATTTTCCACGGTCCGTCCGCTATAATTCTACGTGATTTTTCACGCTGAAGTAATAAAAATTCGAATTTTTCCACCTGCAAAATATAAATGTTCACGATGCGACAACGACCGCGGTAATCTAGCTTCCCGCAAACTACTGTGGTCGCATTTCACAGTTGTCGTTTTGTTTGTCCGCACCAGCTTTGTGCTCCGCCGTACTTCCAGTGCAAAAAGAAAAAAGTTTACTTCAGAGCCCTTCAATGCGGCTTCTGGGAGGTGGGGAGCGAGGGGCGGAGCGAGGGGCGGGAGCGTGAGAAAGCGCCGCTTGTGTCACGTCAAGTTCCGTCCTTTGCTCGGTCGCTCGGACAATGCGCTCCCCCTCGAGACGGTGGCTGCGCCCCTCGACTCTCCAGGCAACCACGAGCGCAGCTCCAAGTATCCCGGGCTCGCTCGCTCACTCGCAGTCTCTCCCCATTGTCAGATCCTCTCCTCTCCCCACCTCTTACAAGCCCATGCCTTTAGTTCATCTGTCTCATCTCCCTCTTCCTCTCCCTCTCCTCCTTCTCTCTGCCTGTCCTGTCTACGCTACCTACGTCTGTACTGTTTCTCGGTCAATTGGTCCGTCTGTTTACATCTGTCCCGTCTCGATCTGTCCTGTCTATCCACCCATTTGTTAGTCAATTATTCTGCCTGTCCATTTGTCTTCTGTCTGTCCGTCAATCAATTGGCAGGCATATCTATCTGTCCATCTGTATCTGCCTGTCGTGTGTCATGTTCTTCACCCTGTCGCTCTGTCACTCTGTCACTCTGCCTGCCAGTCTGTCGCGTCTGTGCATCTGGTCCTTCTCCGTCCACGTTTGTCCATTTGCCTGTCCATCCATCCGTCCGTACATCTGTCTGTGCATTCCGTCCACCCGTACGTCGACATGTTCACCAGTGGGCTCCCTCCACGTTCCGCTTTCCGCATGCCCGCATGTCCCCTGCGCCCCGACCCCCCCCCCCCCCCCCATTCACCGATCACGAGAGTTCGCCAGCTTCTCCTCTCGGTCGCGACGCAGACAAAGCCGAGCCGAGCACAAAGAGACCGGCTCGCACACTCACAGCACCTCGCCGGACCTGGGGTCATGTACCATTGTGATTGCGTCGTTCGTAATGAATTGCAGTCTCAATGTAATTGTAATTTCACGTAACAATACCGCTGCTGTAATTGTCATTTATTTTTCTGGTGGGGGAGGGGGGGGGAGTTGTATCCCGATTGCGCAATCGGCGTCGCGAGATGACGAAGCCGTTCGGACCCTTCGTGTTATTGAGAAGGGCCTAGGAAGTGGATACCACAGAGCTACCTCTGAGATGCCTTCATGTGACCTCTGGTAGATACAGGAAAGTTCCGTATTTTCCCCTCCCGCTCTACCATGTGAGGGTAACGTTCGTCACGCCTGACAAAACTGATATTTTATTTCTCAGAGCTGGAAAGGAGCATCATCATTTTTAGACTAAAATGTTATGGACTTATAAACCTTACGAGTGCCATTTGTGTCCTTTACAAACTAGGGTCGCACTTTCCCACACACTCTGCCATGAGACTGTTCGTAACAAGACAGTAAAGATTGACATTTTTACTTCTCAGAGCTGAATTTATGGCCAAGTTAAGCACAAAACCACATTTTATTGTAGATGTTTTGTGCAGTCTTTGGTGGCTCAAGCTCAAGACCAGCGAAATGTATTACACTTGAGAACCTAGTTAGATCACAGGATTCGAAACTAGGATCTCAGCGGTAACGGCTCAGAGCTCTGACCTCTGAACCACCCGGCTATCTGCCTATCTGTAAGTGCAAATTGCACTTGTCCACAAGCCTGGCACCTCTCGCTCCTTGAACCAGTCTCCGATATCGGGTTCTGGCTTCAGCCGCCTCTGCTGCGGCCAGATTTGTTCACAGCTCAGCGCTCCCGGGGTTTGATCTCAAGCAGACATCGCCGCCGCATATCTCCCCACGTAGCACCGCACCTCCCTTCTTATCTACGCATGGACACAGGTGCCTGCCTTCGGATAACAGCTCCCAGAGATGTGATTTTGCTTTATCCACCAGGTGCCTGCAGTGATCAATGCCGCAAGGGTGGCTATGCCAAGACGTGAATGGTCGTAGTTGCCGAGCTTTGGCCTGGCTCGTGTTTAATGTTGTGTTGCCAAAACATGCGGCGCGGTATTTGTGTATTTATTACACTGTGTTGTCGGGGAGGTTGTTAAGCCGATGTGTTTGTGTGCACGTTCCATCCCATGCTCACAACGCATCGGGTAAATGATAAAGGCTCAGCCCTGCAATTCCTTGCTCATGCCAGAGCTGTTGGAAGTGCCTCCACTGGAGGTCGCATTGGAGAGTCCCTTCAGATAGGGTAGTTTTGGCCTACTATTCCACGCTGGCCAGACGTCGTGGAATTCGTGAGAGCACCCACAATTTACCCCACTCCGCTAGACCTGCCGATCAAAATCTGGTGCACCATTAACACCACGAGTAGACGGATTTAAGAAACTACCCCTCGATTTCTGCATTGCAAGCCTGGTGTGCCAAGATCACACCGTCGGCAGGTATCCCAGGGAATCGAGTAAAGCACCTCGTAAATTCCTACGGAGGGTGGAGGCTCGTGCAAATGTTTGCTCATAGGTTCACGAGTCGGCTTGTAACGCTTTAATGAACGAGCAAATAATTTGAAAAATCACAGGCTGCATGAAGCCTCTCGTCTCTGCTCACCAAGAGTGTGGTGCGATACTCGGGGTTTAATCACCGGCTCGCTTGCCAAATAAACACAATCTGACTCGAACCCCGTGATCCCAACTTTGACCCTAATTATGACCCCGAACTCTGACCCTCTTCCTGACCCTTTACTCAGAGCCCAGCCTTGAGCTGCACACACCAGTTGGGGGGGCGTCTTGTATCGCCTGCCGCACACAGAAATGTCCGATTATGACGGAAACAACAACACTGTTGTGTCTGTCCGTCCATAACCCTTGTCACGCGCATAATCTCAGATTATCATTGCTGCTGCCACCGTGACCCCGTGCCAGCCAGAGAAATGCTGTGGTTCTTTAGCCCCCAAACATTGGAAACCACAACATTATTTTTTTAAAATACTGAGTTGGCAGCGGTGGACGAGCACAAATTAAACAAAAACTCAACGCGAACTTGCACGCATGTTCCCTCCTTTGAGATGTTAACATCTCGCCATGGTGGCGAGATGTTAACTACCTCGCCAGGTATACAGGAGGTCGTGGGTTTATTCCCAACCATGATGATGCCTGTATTTTTGGAGTTTGCATGTTCTCCTTGTGGTCACGTGGATATTTCTCTGGGTCCTCTAGTTTTTTCCCTCCAGATTTAAGTATTTGACGGCTATACATTTTCACCTGATAAGCCACTCCGTTGAGCTATCATTTGTTGCCAGGTCGCTTCTGAATAAAGAGCTATACAGCTCAGTGGGCCTTACCTGGTAAAATAAAACGTTTTAGTTTAGTTTTCGGCTGCAATTCCATCGTCAGACTCAATGAAGACCCACCATCCCTTCTAGCGACATGTCCTGCATAAGCTCACTTGCTTTTCATCACTCAACACAAAGTGCGTTCCTCTATCTGTCACTCGGTGAAATTCCGAGCGTGCACCTTTCCACCTTTGCGCGCTTTGACAGATTTCATTCCATTTTTTCAGCCAATGTCCACATTTTTGATCCGTGCCACCGCAGGGCGGTACCTCGTCTTCTCCCTCTCGGCAATCCCCCTCGTATCCGAGTACGACGACCACTCCAGCATCGCAGATAGAGATTCCAGCACTGATCGCGGGGGCGACGGGCGGACATGAAGCTCACCGCTCGCTCACGCGCCGACGAGTCCGAGGGGTGGCTCACGAGGCCCGTGCCCTGGGCCGGCCATACTCGCCCACCGCAACTGCATTGGGCGCGTGCAGCAGCAGCAGCAGATGGCAGCAGCAGCAGGTGACAGCAGTAGCAGCAGCAGCAGCAAGACGTTTCCTTCTCAGCTGCCGCCCCCTCGCCCCTTCCTCAAAAGTTGCGGGGGATTCCCGGCCTTCAAGGCTGCGCTTCGCGCTCTGCGATCGGCAGCCAACTCTCTTCCCCCGCCGGCATCACTGATGGAGCCAGTGGGGTGGTGGGGTGGCACGTGCCCCCCCAATGATCTGATCTAAATCTCTAATTTCGATCGGATCATTGGAGATTATTAGTAATAAATCGGCATTTTGCGACCCCCACTGACACTGTGGAGCATATTATTACGTGCCAGGGACTCTATGAGATGATAGTTATAAGCGACTCACAGAATTGTGCGCAGTCGCGTATACAGCACACGACTTCCCTGAAGGCAAACACTTTCAGCGAGCGCGATGCTGATCACACAACGCGGTTCGAATTCGACCCTCGAATCGATGGCTGCGCCATCGCTGCACACGCGTCAAATAAAAAGCAAGGGACAAGTCCTTACTAACAACTCCTATAATTTTTCATTGCTGGAGGAGTTGCCCCCCCACTACCTAAAATCCTGGCTCCGCCATTGCCCGGCATCAGCGTTGATGGCATGGTTCCACACCTGCTTGCTTTCTCAAAGGTGTCCATACATCTCGACAGCATCTGACAATTCAGAGAGGTTTCTAGGTCCTCAAGTAACTTGGAAGATGAAAAAAAAATACCTAACTTGAACCCACGGTCACTCACTCGAGCACCTGAATTCTCCATAGAGGGTGGGTGCGGGGGGGGGGGGTGCAAAGGTGAGGCTTGGAGTAGAGCCGCGCTATTTGTTCATGAATCACCAAGACGAAGCGACCTGGAGGGCTAAGCTTCGAGCGCAGCGAGGTGCCAGGCACCGGGGCCAGGATCCTGGGGCTAAGTCAAACATTCCATGCCTGCTGCGGCGGCCAGGGGCGCACAGGAAAATCACGTGGAGGAGGTGGACGTGATAGCAGGGTGGGCGTGAGTGGGACAGAAGATATTCGGGGGGGGGGGGGGGATGATCAATCTCAATTGAAATTATCCTCCAATGAATTCCACGTGATTAATTCAACAATAATGCAATCTCATTCTAGAAGAAGTTTCATTTACATATTTAGAAATAAAACGTCCGTGTATGCTTTTGAATGATTGCACTCAGTCTTCAAGATCCTCTACGGACTCGCCCCTGCCCCTCTCATCTCACTCTACTCCCCTCCATGCACTCTCCTACCTGTCCCCTTTCATCGCACTCTACTCCCCTCCATGCACTCTCTTACCACTCCTCTCTCATCTCACTCTAATCCCTTTCGGACACTCTCCTTTCTCTCCCCTCTCATGTCACTCTACTCCCTTCTACGTACTATCCTACCTCTGGAACTCGCTTCAGCCACCTGTGCTCTTGGCTTCCATCTTCTGGCTACTTCACAGCCTAAGCCTATAACATCTGATATTGATAGGAGGCATTCTCCTGTCAAAGTACTTATCAGGCTCGATCCTGCTAAACTTGTGAGATCCTGCAAGATCGGGCACATTCCAGATAATTTGGTCGGAGGAAATGACTCACTGTTCCTTCTTGATGATAAATCTTTATTTGCATTTCATTCATATTGCGGTCTCCTCTCCCTCTCTTCTCTGTGACCCTCCCACACCCCCCCCCCCCCCACCTCTGAAATCATCCCCCGGAAAGTCAAGTCAATACGGCATGTCCCAATATTTGCACAACGACTTCAGATGTGGTGACATCCAGACGCCTGTTTACGTGAGATAACGGGGTGGTGGAGGAGTCTGCACAACGCGCTACGAGGAGGTGCGGCCAGGGGGGGGGGGGTGGTGGAAGGGGCGGGGGGGGTTACTCACACAGCAGGAGAGCTGCGGTGAGGGTGGGCGTCATGTCCGACGACGCCAGGAGCTGCCAACAGCTGAGCCAGGGCAGCAGACGGCTCTGAGCACGAGACACGGGAGACACGGGGCGAGGGACGTGAGACACGCCGACGAGAGACAATGGGGAATCACATGGGGCATGGAACATCGCAGTGGTGGTTTATTGCAAGATCTGAACTCAGGAGGCCATGTTGAGTCTCTGACCAGGGGTATTGGGCATTAGGCTGCCAATGATTACTGCTGCTGTGCGCTTATAATCCCAATTGAGTAATTTGCCAAAATGTGGACCCTGACGCCGGCACGCACAGTGGCCTTCCTCTTGCAAATGACGTCGTTGAGTGAAGCAGACGACGCACGTAGCGGTGTCGTCACGGTTATCACACAACTGCAGCAATGACCGGGGCGGCCGCTGGATTCGAACCATGAACCTCGGCAACGAGTGGCCAACGGGGCGTCCGCTCAGTGCCGAAAGGAAATGGGGAAGGGGGGGGTGCCCCGAGTAGAACTTATTTTGGGGGCCCCTATATGAATCCACGAAATCCTAGTGAGATGACGGAAGAGATATAGACAAGAGAAATGGATCGAGTGATATGTGAGAAATGCAGACCAAAATAGAGATGTCAATGAAATGAGAGAACAGAGACATTTATTGGCTGTTTTAAGTGAATCTGCGTCCCTTTGACTTTTTGGGGCCACGTGCTTTTGCTTTGGTGTACTTATGCCTACAGCTGCACGACTGCCTCTGTCCACCCAGTCGTATAAATTGTGTAAAAATCGTGGACACTGCCAAACTCTTCGAAGACGTATGGCCAAGTATGGAAAAGTAGGCTAAAATGTCCCTCTCTTGTAAAGAGATGTTTTTATCTCCAGAGCTACCAATTTAAAGTGGAGGCCCTTCCGCCAGCAGTGGCACGAGCAGGGTTGCTCTTTCGCCTCTATTACCACAGCATACTGCAGGGACACCATTGCTGTGCTACACCTGCTCCTCCTCAATGGGAAATGAAAGGCATGGCCACAGGAGTGCGTATGTGGGCATGCATCCAAAACTGTGGACCGTGTAAGTAAGCCACCGTGGTCTGCGGTCATTCGATGGAGGATGAACAGCAAAACCACACGAATTCTCTGCTGGAGCCCTCTCGTCATGGCCAGAAGACCTCAAACAATGGCATTGGGCTTCTGAACATATCGCTGCCACGCACAAGACTTGAATTTATGTGCGTACGTATGTGCGTACAGGTGCTCTGTTGAATTCACATCGCATCTCCGATTAGCAGGGTTGGCTACATGCGGCGCGAAAGAAGTTCAACATACAAGCATCTTATACCTCTCCACGATGTAAACCTCAAACAATGCCACGTGCGTATTACATTCAAGGACCACTCCCCCTTAATCAGTCTATCTGGATAAACTTGGATTTGTTGCCAGAACCGTCTTAATGTAAATACGCTTAATAATTGCCCGTCATGTTATCTACTCTTTATTAAATTTTTTAAATACACATATAATCAATGTGTCAATATTTTCCACTGTGAAACAAGAAACCGATACACTGTGCGGCGTAAGCAGTGTGCATTTAAGGGGTTTGGCATTTGCGGTAAATTTGAAATTGTTTTACGGTGTTGCTGCACACCCGTTTTTGCGTGGACATAAACATACACAGACATTTGCTCTCAGCTAGAAGAGCCCGATGAGCTGTGAAGCTCTTTGTTCACAGTCATCAAGCCCCACATGAACTCGAACAGAACAACAGCATGACATACAATAAACGACTAACAGCAAGAGCAAAACAATATATATGCGTGATACATTACAGCCGCTATATCATTGTTATATGTGTGCCTAGGTCGCATAACCCCCGCCAGCTACGCGGTGTGGGGGAGGCGCTCATCCAGCAGTGGATTGCCAAAATGGTTGTACACTTTCACATGCAATACATAAATACATTAACGGATTCATTAACGCGCAGCCTGTGGAGTGGTAGAGCAGTGATTAGCGCACTGCCCTATCAATCTCCTGACCCGAGCAGATTTCAATTCCCGGCCATGCCTAACATCAGTGGCGACTGATGTGTGTGCGTACAGGTTTCCCTCGCTGTGTGCAGTGGTGGTAGTAGTAGTAGTAGATGAGTTCCAAAAAAGAGGGGCGCACAAAGCGAAACCGCACGAGGAGACAGTTGCCTGCCGAGTAACCTGTACAGGACACATACAGTACACACAGTACATATACACAGTGCACACACAGTACATACACACAGTACATATACAGTACACACAGTACATATACACAGTGCACACACAGTACACGTAGTACACACACAGTGCATGCACAGTACACACACAGTACACGTAGTGCACACACAGTACATGCACAGTACACACACAGTACATGCACAGTACACACACAGTACACACACAGTACATGCATACAGTACACAAACACAGTACATACACAGTACACACAGTACATATAAAGTGCACACACAGTACACATAGTACATACATAGAGTACACACGCAGTACATACACAGAGTGTGCACACACAATGTTGTCCCACGTCCGACCGCACAGTTTTCGTACTTGAGATGTTGGGTCACGACGATGACAGCCAAAAGAACAGCTCGCGTAAATATTGTACCCGAGTATTCAATGTTACGTTCGGGAATGTAGCAGAGTAATGTATATCTAGAATCCACTTGAATGTGTGTACAGAAATAAAGATTGGGCAAATTCCCAGGTATGCCAGCCACAAAGTATACAGCCCTAGCAGGTGTGTGTGCCTGTGTTACCGTGGGTGCGGGACCATACACACAGAGGGGACAGGCGTCTATGACGTCTCCTGGCCAAACCCCATTTGGCAGAGCCAGGAGACTGAATCCTTACCCTCGGGGTTCCTCGAGAAGCAGCAAAAAGCCACTGCGGATGGCCACGTGGAATGTTCAAACGCTCACTACGGAGGAGAGGCTGCCACTCCTCTGTCGGGAACTGGACCAGTACCGTCTGACCTCCTGTCACAGGTGTTAGCTAATGTGGCCCCTCGTGATAGAGTCATCCTGTTGGGTGACTTTAATGCCCGAGGTAGTCATGATGCTGGCACCTGGTTTGGAGTGATTGAAAGGCACGGGGCCAGATCAGCTCAATAACAACGGTAGGAGGCTGCTAGACTTTTGTGCAGCCCATGGGCTTGTATTTACCAACACGTTGTTCCGACATCAGCGCATCTACACAACATCGTGGATACATGCCAGGTACAAGCAGAAACATCTTCTGGACTATATAGTGATGGAACAGCGGATGCGGGCCCATGTCCTACCATGGAGCTGATCTGCCTACTGACCATCGGCTTGTCATCTGTAAGATGCGCCTGCCATTCTACCACTCCGGTGGTAGGTGTACACCCAGGACCCCGTGCAAACCCATAGCGGCCTGGTCTAAGCTCGCTGATGAAAGTTGCAAGCGAGAATTTCATCATTGCTTGCAGCTGGGATTGGCATCGTCCCCCACTCCTCCTGATGTCGAGGGGAAATGGGTGAGGTATAGGACTGTGGCTCATGCAGCTGCAATGAATGCGTTGGGTACACGGTCCAGACCTCCCCAGAGACCCTGCCTGACAGAGGTGTTCAGGCTGGCTGAGAAAAAGCCACAGGTCCACTCTCTTCGTCTACAGCATCCCACGTCAGAAAATGAGGCGGCTTACCGCAGCCTTCGCTCGGAGGTTCGGAGAGCCGTGAGGCGCTGCAAAGATGGGTGGTGGTCACGGCTTGCTGAGGAGATGGAATCTGCATCACTGAACCGCGATCACAAATCGCTCTTTAATTCAATGAAAAAAACTTGCAACGCCACACCTTTTACCATCGTTAGGGGAAAGAACGGTGATCCAATCTCAGACCCCCAGGAACAGGTTTGCAGATTTGCTGAGCATTTATGTGAGGTCTTGGGGGAGGGTGAAATTCCTCAGCCTGGAAAACATCATGGGGCAATGTAGGGGTGACCCTGCTGAGGCTGCGATGCCTCAAATATTGGAGGAAGTCGTCACCTCTTGTGAGTGGCTGGCTGAGGTGCCATCTGTTGAGGAAGTACTGAAGGTGATCCAGAGTCCAGAACAGGCACCAGGCAGAGATGATCTCCCAAGCTAAATGCTGAGGGAGGGTGGCGTTTTAGTACAGACTGCCCTACATGACATCATAATAACAGTCTGGACCAATGGTTGGGTTCTGCAGGATTGGAGGGATGCCCTGGTGGAAGGGGGACCGCACAAACCGCAACTACAGGGGCATTTCTTTCCTCAGTGGGCCGGGAAAGGTCCTGGCAAGGATTATTCAACATCACCTTGCCATGCACGCTGAGTGTGGTTTCAGGGGTGGTCCTGCAGAAGATGCCATATTTCTGTCTGTCTGCTGCAGCAGAGGTGTAGGGAATTCCAACAAGACCTACACCTCTGCTTTATTGACCTGGTCAAGGCCTATGATACCATCGGTAGGCCTGGGTTCTGGGTTGTTCTTCATACTTTCGGAGTCTCTGTCTCTCGGCTCAGGATCATAAAGAACCTTCATGATGGTGAGCGGGCCCAGTTAAAACTACGTGGCCGGGAGTCGGAGCCATTCCCTGTTCACCTTGGGGTGCGACAGGGATGTCCTCTGGCTCCCACATTATTTAATATCTATTTAGACCATGTAGCTCGTGAAGCCTTCCATGGCTGTACCGGAGGAATTTCCATCTGGTACAGATATAATGGGAGGCTGATAGATGCCCGGGTGCAGTCAAGGGATGGCTCCCTATTGGTCAACCATGTTACGTATGCCAATGATCTGGTAATTGCTGCTCACTCAGAGGAGGAGTTGGAGGTGCTGCTACTGAACCTGGAGCGTGGCACTAAGAGGTGGGGTCTTACCATCATCCCAACCAAAACTAAGCACCTGCCTGGGTATTTTGTACCAACGAACACTCCACCCCCACAACTCCCAATTGGTGTGGCAGTTGTGGTGAGAGTGGAGAGTTTCCCATACCTGGGCAGTGTGCTCATGACCGGCTCCGATTTGGCAGTAGAAGTCTCACCCCAAATCAG